AAGAAAGAAGGATAAGCTTGTGACATTTCTCCATAAATGGATAAACCTTGAGACTAATCTCAAGTGAAATAAATCAGACACACGTTTAAATACTGCATGATCGCTGGTGTGGGAAACCAAAGGTGTAAATAAGGACTGAAATGTATAATAGATATTGGAAAATGGGAAGAAAATGTTCAACTGAGAAGGGGAACAAGGAGCCATGTGATCCCAGCACTCGGGAGGCTGAGGCAGGAGGATCACTGCGAGTTCGAGACAGCCTGGGCTGCAAAGTGAGCTCAAGGCCAGCCTGGACTGCACAGCGAGACCCTGCCTCAAAAAGATCTTTAAAAAGACAAATTGGTACTAGGGCTCGAACTTACAACCTCATGCTTGCCAGACAGGCACTTATGCTTGCTGAGCTAAATCCGCAAACCCAAGGCCCCAAGCTTTTGTAAATGAGCAGGGAGGAGGGGTGGAGAGGGGAGGGGAATGAGGAAAAAGCAAGATCTATCCTGTACGGTCCAGATTCCCCGGGACGAACACCAGCATTGTATATCTAAGATGTACCAGTGAAAGACAAAAAGCAGATGACAATCAAAATGATATAAAAGTTGGTTTATGAGGGCCGGGGTTTAGCTCAGCGGCGGAAGCACCTACCTGGCAAACTCGAGGTCCTGAGTTCGATCCACGGTACCTCCCCCCAAAAAACGTTGGTTTATAAATAGAAGGCCTTGCTTACCTGGCGTGAGACACAAAGTGTCAACAAGGACCAAACTGTACAGCAGATAATTCAAAGTAGGGGGAGAAGACCTTGGCATGGGAAGGGGAACGGGAGAAGGGGAGGGGAAAGGAGAGAAGGGAACAGAGAAGATGAAGTGAGGAGAGGGAACCAGCCGGTGAAGCAGCTTCTGTAAATGGGGAGGGAGAGGATCCGGGCCTGGAACCGGAAGAGAAAGAAGAGATTACATGGCGGACGGTACCAGGGCTGGCTCGAGATAAAGGGGGTCACCATGAGGTCTAAAGTGCACCAATCAAAGCTGATTGCAAAAAGATAAAAGGGATGGCTGTGATCAGAGAGTGCACAGATGGTTTCAAATGCTAGCTGCCAGGCTGAGTCACCTAGAGCGGTTGAGATAAGGGGAGACCCCTCGGGCCGCCAGAGTGGCTGGGCCAGATTCCCCTCGTGACTGCAAAAGCAGCTGCCTGCATCACAATCTGTCCACTTTCCCACTGACGGGCGACTTGTCCAGTGGTCCCACGGAGCCGCCCCAAACAGTTATTAAGTAAATGACTATAATATACTTAAATTGGCTTCTTTTCTTTTCTGTCTTTTTGAGACAGGATTTCACTAGGCAGTGCAGGCTGCCTTCCAATTCATTTTGTAGCTCAGGCTGACCTCAAACGCACAGCGATCCTCCTGCCTCAGCCTCCCAGGTGCTGGGACTACAGGTGTGCGCCACCACGCCTGGCGCAATAAGGTTTCTAATTAAAAGACGTTCTCGGGGCTGGGGATTTAGCTCAGCGGCATAAGCACCTGCCTTCCAACCAGGTGGTTGTGAGTTCGATCCCCAGTACCAATTACAAAAAAAAAGATGTTCTCAATTAAGCTTACAAAGCTAGATAAACAAGCATTTTCTTCTTATAGGTACTTAGTGTTTCTCATTGTTACACTTTTAGTTGCTAAAATTGCTTTTTAGTGTTCACTTGGGGGCAGATATACTAAAATTGGGTTTTAAAGGTTAAATCAAATGGAGGCTCATAAAATATTTTCAGTAAACAGTTGGTGACAACTTGTCTCAATTTATGAAGTTCCTTGCTATAAACATGTATATATGTTATACAGTAACATATATATGTATATTCTTAAACACACAAAGTAACCAAGCTTTGCCATATCTGTCTCAGTTTGATCCTCTCATCTGAAGCTCGCTTTATACCTACTGGGGTTAGTTAACATCTGTTGACACTAGTTTTAAAAACACTTTGCAATTACGCAGATGAGACTCACATCCTAGATAACAAATCTAGTTGTGGTCAACAACACCATTTGTAAGATGTGTAAGACAACATCTTTAAACATTTCCTTAAGCTTTTGCCTGTATGGTTTATACCCTATAAATCTGTTAAAAATCTAAATTTCACCTTAAATAAAAAACCAAATAGGATTTTAGCTAATTAGCTCAATGGGACAGTGCCTATGGGGCAAGCTGGCCGTCCTGAGCTCGAATTCCAGTACCAAATACCAAAAACAAACAAAACAATAGAGACAAGAGTTTCTATATATAACAGTGACACTATTGCTAACCTCATAATATATTAAATATAGGGGCTGGGGATTTAGCTCAGCGGCATAAGCACCTGCCTTGTAAGCAGGCGGTCGTGGGTTTGATCCCCAGTACCAACAAAAAGATAAAAAATACATATATATAATATATATATAAAATATATATAGTATATTAAATATATATAATATATGTGTTTCTCAAGCAGACGGGCCTTCAAACATTCAAAGTTAAAAAAAATCTTTATTATGCTGGTGACTTCCTGACTGGTTGTTGGTAATAGGACATTTTACAATTCTGACATGATTGTGTGACAGCTTTATAATCTGTGATTGCTAAGTGACAACTGCCAGCCCTTAAAACCTCTACGAGTACCTTACATAGGTCCCAGATCACTAAATATAAAATCTTTAGGATAAATTCTTTTTTTTTAATTTTAGAGAGATTAAAACAAAACAGGATAAATTCTTGGGGCTGGGGATTTAGCTCAGTGGCATAAGCACCTGCCTTGCAAGCAGGTGGTCGTGAGTTTGATCCCTGGTACTGATAAAAAGGAAAAAGACAAAAACAAAACAAAACAAAAGGATAAATTCTTGAGTATAAAAGTCCAACTCCTTTTTCCTGTCTCCTAATCGGCTAATAAAATTAAATTAACTATGTATCTACAGTGAAGATGCTTGTTCAAGATAACAGATCTCTATATAAACAAAGACGATACAGAAGCTGTCAAGCCAGCCCTCACAGCCTGACCTGAGAGCTGTCTATTTTCAATTTTCTCTTTCCCCTCATCACCCCAAAATTTCATCTTTTTTATTCGGCTACCAGGAATTGAACTCATGAACTCATGCTTGTCAGGCAGGCATTGTGCTGTCAAGTTATATTCCTCCACATCCTCCCAAAAAAAGTTCAAAAGAAAATTTTAAAAGCATGCAATATATTTTAAAAGCTTATTAAGAGTCAGTGTTTGTCCCTAAAATGCCACTTTCAGGTTTTATTTCACATTCTTTTTTATTTTATTTTATTTTATTTTTTGGTCTTTTTCCTTTTTATTGGTACCGGGGATCGAACTCACGACTGCCTGCTTGCAAGGCGGGTGCTTATGCCGCTGAGCTAAATCCCCAGCTCCTCTTTTTTATTTTTTAAAAATATGTATTTTTGAAACAAGCAAACAAATATATTTTGTTTTGTCTTTTTGAGGCAGGATTTCTATGCAGTTCAGGCTGGCCTGCAACCCACGGTGACCCTCCTGCCTCTGCCCCCTGAGTGCTAGGATTACAGGTGTGCACCCCAAACCTGGCCCTGGTTTTATTTTACAAACTTGGGGCTGATTGGAAACATTTTTAAAGGTTAACTTTTATTCTACAGTGTCTCCTGGATCTCCAAGAACCCTACTGTCTGAGGGCTCAGCCCAAAAAGATATTTATAGACTCCTCTCCTCAAAAACAAACAAACAAACAAACTCGTCACCTTTCATTTGGGCTGGGTTAGAAGGATACACAGATAGGAAGCCATGCACAGTTCTGACATACGTGGTTGATGTTTTTCTCCTAAACCACTTCACTGACCAAGCACACTTCTTAAGGTAAAATGGTTTACGTTTCCTTAAAAAAATAAAGGAGCCAGCCACTTGCCATACTCCAGCCAATGCAGGACATTTTCCAGAAGGTTTTCCATTATTCACGAGAAAACTCTCAAAATTCATGCCTGATAAGAGACTCCCCCTACTGCAGGTGAAAGACCCTAAAAGCCACTGCCCGAGTAGGCGAGCCTCCTCCAGGCCCGCTGGGGCGTTTTCTGGGGCAGCTGGGACTGCAGCCCAGAGGCCAAAGGAAACCACGTTCACCCCGCTGCCCTCAGGAGGAGGCAGGGGCAATGCACGGTTCTTGATTGCAATTGCGCCCACAAAGAGAGAAAGGATCCCACAAAGCGCAGAGTTCTCATCATGGCACCCCCCATGGGCACAGACCAGGGCACACCGTGGCCGCTGCTGGGAGGACAAGCAGGGTGGTCTTGAACTCACAGCGATCCTCCTGCCTCAGCCTTGGGGTGCTGGGTTACAGGTGTGCGCCACCTTCCTGGCTCCCACATTTTTTCTGTTTGTTTCAGGTGAAATATTTCCTGTCTTCCTACTGTAGACATACCTGTGTGGTATACTGTTGCAAGCTAAAAGACAAAAGCAAACAAAACTTTACTCGTTAACAAAAAAAAAAAAAGCAATTTTTTTCTATATACAGACATAGAGAGGTATCCATTCACAAGTGAGAAGACTTGGATAATAAAGGACCCATCAATTATGTTACAAGGCTCCAACTAAACCTATTTTATTAAAAAAAATGTGATAAACTTCCCTGATTCTTTACTTTCAGGCTTTGACTGAATTCAGAAATTCCTAACTTTTGGATGGTTCGCTGTGCAAACTCAGCCTTGTTTAAAAAAAGACAAAACTTAGAGTTTGTAATAAAAAGAAATAATAAATAAATATCCTATCTAACAGTCTCCGGCTGTTCTCCATGATAAGATGTACTCTAGACAAAAACAAGCCAAGGCTGGGCTCAAACTTGAGATTCTCCTGCCTCAGCCTCCTGAGTGCTGGGCTCACAGGTATGCTCCATCCAGCTCACTTTAAACCTCGCTCCCTGCCAGGTCACCTTGACAACTTGGTGATGGCCTTTGGAGAATCACTTGTGGTTAAACAGTGCTCATCTGGGTGGGGGGGCTGCAAATTAACTGCAAGTGAAACTCAGCTGACTTAATGGCCAGCCCTTTATTTGGAAGCCCTGGCAGGAGGAGGGGACTTTCTTTTCCTTTGCGGATCCAAGGTGGACGGACGGACGCTGTGTTTTCACTTCATTCTGTGGCAGGAAGGTGATTCCTGGAGCTTTGTCCCTTTCTCTAGGGCCATCGTGGTAATGGCCGTGGGACCTGCTGGGTGAAGAGGTCCTGTGACCACTATAGAGGGGATCATCTGGGCTCTGTCTACTCAGATCTGGCTTCTTCCACAAACCATTTCTGAGACGCAATTTTTTTTTTTTTTTGCTGGTATTCAGATTTATCCCAGAGGCTTTGAACTGAGCTACATCCCCAGCCCTACTCTGTTTTAAGGCAGGGCTCACTAAATTGCTGAGTCCTCTAGCTTGAGGCACAGCTTGTCATCCTCCTGACTCAGCCTCCCAGAATGCTGGGATTACAAGTGTGAACCACTGTACCTGGTGGTTTTTCCCTTTTTAACTGAGGGACGGAGCAGGGAAAGAGGTACAATATTCTACATGATGCATGCAGTTTGTTTTTTTGCTGTTCGTATGTGAAGTCTGAGCAGCTCGCAGCCACTCATACTCACTTCTGTGTCTGTGGCTGCATCCGGGCTGCAGAGGCGGAGGTGGCAGACGTCAGGAGGCTGCAGGGCCCACAAAGCCTACAATATTTACACCCTGAGCTGGATGCAGAGGTGCATGCCTCTCATCCCAGCATCCTAGGAGGCTGGGGCAGGAGGACTCAAGTCCAAGCCCAGCCTGGCCCAACTAAAGACACAGCAAGACCCTACTCAAAGTAAAAGTAAGCAGGGCTGGGAATGTAGCTCATGGTGAGGGCCCTGGGTTCAACCCTAGTAACACACACACAGAGAAGAAATAAAACAAAACACCTAAGTGTGTGTTGCTTTGAACTCTATCTTTCCAGGGAAATCAACTAAGCTACAGCTCAGTCTTTTGACTTTAAATTTCCAGAGTGTCACCAAGTTGCTGCATTGCCCAGGTAAGACTCAGATTTGCCATCCTCCTGCCTCAGGCTCCCAAAGGACTGGAAAGACTCCTGGTCTTGCAAAACAGCTACATTTTTCTTTTCTCGTGAGCCATCTGTGTGTGCGCAATATGTCACATTGAGGTTTTATTATTTTGCTTTTCCCTGACGACTAATGAAGTGACCAGCTTCGGGATGGGTCCTGCGCCCATGAAGGGCGTGTTTGAAGCTTTTGTCTACTTCAAAAAAAGGCATGGTCTGTCTTCTATTAATTTGAGGCGTTCCCTGTGTTGTGGACAGAGGCCAGCCCCGGAGGCGGCTGTGGTCTTGGGTTTGTCCTGTGAGCCCTGAGAACCCCCCAAGGGTGACTCCGGTGGTCAGGATTGGACTCTGATAAGCTGGCTGAGTGGCAGCTAGAAGCTGTATCCCGGGGGTGTCCCTGGTGAGACTGCCTGCTGAAGCACAGGGTGCAGGGGTGGGTGGCCTGCCCTCTCCAGAGGGCTGGAGTTCCCGGGATTCCATTGCTGGCCCGGGCGAGTCCCTGGAGTTGACAGTTTCCTGGTTCCATGATAGAAGTGTCCTTGCTGCTGTAGCTTTGGTGACAGACAGCCTGGGGCCTCTGTGGAGCTCTGACAATTTGTTCGACATCTAGGGTGACTCAGCTGTGTTTTTGGTTTTGTTTTCTGTTGCAGTTCTGGGGACCGGACTCAGCCTCTGAAGTGAGCTACGTCCCCAGCTCTTTTGTAATGTTTTATTTTGAGACAGTCTTCTAAATCCCTCTGTCCCCCAAGCTGGGCTTGCTCCTCCTGCCTTGTGCCCCCAGAGGATGGGAATAGGTCTGTGCCATCGGCGCAGGTCTGTCAGCATCTCTCATGGGAAACCAGGGATGGTGATGGGGAACTGGGATTGGGGTGGATTCCTATCATCCCAGGACTTGGGAGGCTGAGGCAGGAGAATTGCTATTAGTTGAAGGCCAGTCTGGACTATACTGTGAGGTTGCCTCAAAACACAAAACAAAAGCAAACAAAAAGGATTGTGTGTCTAGTTCTTCTAAATATATTTATATCTGCACAAGTGTGGCTGCTGGATCACGTAATGGTACCTTTAATGTCTGGGAGAACTTTCCGCTGTTTTCCACACTGTCTATGGCATTTTACAGCGCTCCCAGCAGTGCACAGGTTGTCCTACTCTTCGAATCCTTAATTATCATTCATTTACTTATTTTTACAATATTAGGAATTGAGCCAGGGCCTCTGCACTGGGCCCTACCCCCAGGCTTTTTTAAAAAAATTCTTTTTTTACAATGGAATATTACTCAGAAAAAAAATTATTTTTTGAGACAAGGTGTCTCTAAATCACTAAATTGTCCAGGCTGGGATCCTGTCTCAGCTCCCCAAGCGCTGAGTACAGGATTGTACCACCACGCTTGGCCTCTGTCCCTTTTGTTTTATTTTTATTTTGGCATTGGGAATTGAACTCATGACCTCGAGCTTGCCAGGCAGGCGCTGTGCTGCTGAGCTATATCCCGGCTCTTCCTTTTGTTTGAATGTCTTTTTGGTTTTTGAATGGGTCCCGCTAAGTTATCCTGCCGGGCGAGGAGTCACACTGATTGATCCTCATGTTTCACTCCCTAAGTGCTACAGGTGTGGGCCACCACGCGTGGCCCGGCCTCCCCATATGATGAAAATCATGGCGCTAACTACAAATCCCTTACTTGCTACAAATCATCCTGAAGATTTTCCGGAGTAGCTGCTCCGAGCCCCGATCCACCCAAGAGGGTGCTGAGGTCTAACTCAAATGGCATGCTCAAGGTAGTCCAGTGAGCAGACAGTGTAGGTGTTAGGTTGGAGCTGAGGGCTTTAACTCGAGTCCTCACCGGCTGTAGCCCTTTGGGAGGTTCGCTGCTTTATCTTCTTGAGTACCCAGAGAATGAATGAGAATCTCTAGTGCCCTGGCGCAGCACCCCCGCCCCTCCAAGCCAAGCAAAAAAAAAAAAAACAGAAGGCGGAGGTGGCGCTTGGGCGAGCCCACTGCTTTGCGCTAGGAGGGGGTGCGCGCCCACCGTACGCATGCGCACTCTCTGCGCACGACCCGCTCCGCTGACTGCCCGCATATGGTACGGCCTCTCTGTGCGCGGTACGGCCGACTTTCCCCTGCGCCTGGGCCAGGGTGGTACGCGCTGCCTCCTCTGACCGCCCCTCCCAGTTGGTTTCCGCGCGAAAAGCCCGGGCCTCCTGCACTGCTGCTGCGTCTGCTGGAGCCTTCGGGATGCCGGCCCGCACCGCCCCGGCCCGAGTGCCCGCGCTGGCCACTCCAGCCATCTCCCTGCCCGACGATGTCCGCAGGCGGTAGGTGTTGCGGAGTGGGGTTGTGGCAGCCATCCGCTCGGTGAAGGGGGGAATCCAGGCAAGACGCCGCGGCGGGGGTTTGCTCCCCCTCTGGGTGGCCCGTGGCCGGCGCTGACAGTAGGGCGCGCATGCGCAGGCTGGCGGCGCGGCGCTTGGCAGTGGCGGTTGGCGCGGGCACCGAGGCACTTCCGGCCGCGCGCTCCGTTGGCCTTTTGGCGCCAAAATGGGCTGCGGCTCCTCTGAGCTTCCTGGTGCCCAGAAACTTGGGGTGCGGGGTCTCTTCAGACCCCGACGTACAGAAAGCCTTGAGTTCATCCCGGGGTGGGGGGTTCCTCTTCTCTTTCCTGGGCACGCAGGAAGTGGGCAACCGCGGCCTCCGGACCGGACCCCCAGCCCTGGGACTCTGTCCTCCACTTCCGGTGCCGGGCCGAGCCCCGGGAGTGTTCTGGGGTCTCCTTGGCATTCCGGGAGTTGTCCATCCCGATAGCGATCTGTAGAGGCGGACGTCACCGGTGGGGGGAGAGGGTAGCGGTGACAGAAGTTGGCAAGTCCGGTCCCCCTGGGGTCCCCTTGGGGTCCCCAGTGTCCCCGGGGACCACTGTGCTGCCAGGAGCCCTTTTGTTTTTGGGGTTTCGAGACAGGGCCTCTTGATAGCCCAGGCTGGCTTCTAACTTCTGCCTGGTCCTGGTCCCTCAGCTTCTTTGGACTCGTGAGGTTGCAAGTGTGTGCCATCACACCTGGCTTACTTGGTTCTTTTCGGGACCAGGTGCCTCTGTGTAGTTCAGTGTGGCCTTGGACTCGACAGAAATCCTCCCGCCTCAGCTTTTCAGGTGCTGGGGCTACAGGCGTGTGCCATCATGCCTAGGAAGGAGCCCTTCGTGTGCATCTTGGGACTAGGGCCAGAGCATCGTGCACGGGGAATGCCCCTGCTACACTCGCGGTGCCCAGGATTCCGCGGGCACCCAAGAATCTTGCCAGTTTAGAAAACTAGCTGTGCTCTGCAGCGGCCATGGGAAGAGTGGACATGGCGGCCAGTGGTGGGGACCTGAGTCCTGTAGTTTGCATCTCGTGGGACTGGCGGGAAAACTGGCCCCGGGAGTCACGATCCTGAAAGACACCAGTTCATTCTTGAAAACGTGTTCCACATGAGCTGTGCATTAGTCACCTGAATCTTGACCGGAATTGCACAGTCCTGACCGGATCTACTGACCTGCTCTGGCCATGTCTTCCATGGGCTTGCTCACGTGGTCCACTGCAGACCTGGCCTGTGGGGGAGGGGGTGAAGTGGGAATGGGCAGCTGCCCTCAGCCCCTCAAAGTACTTCTTGTTTAATGAGACGGAGTCTTGCTGTGTAGTCCAGGCTGGCCTCAAACACCTGGCGATCCTCCTGCCTCGGCCTCTCCAGTGCTAGGATCAGAAGTGTGCACCATAACAGTTGGCTCTTTTCTAATATACTCTTAATAGCTCATTAGCTGTGTAACACTAGAAAGTATTTTCAGCACTTTCAACTTTTTTTATTGATACCGGGGATCAGACCCAGGACCATGCACTTGCAAGGTAGGCACTTATGCTGCTGAGCTAAGTCCCAAGCCCACTTTTTCTTTAACTTTTAAGTGTGATATGCTATAAAACTCTTAAAATCATGTCTCTCAGGGTAAGTCAGTTTGCTGCGTGATTTTCTTACCCTGTTCAGACAGCAACAGTTGCCCAGCAAAAAATGGTCTCTAGCTTGTCTGCTGCTACCACTCGGGGCTGGTTGTTACGAAGCAGACACTTGTTGTGGTGGGCCAAGGGCTGGAGCACGCTCGCCGAGCGCGGGCATGAGGTCCTGCGTCCCCTGCCATGTGTGTAGGGCTTGTCTTGCGCTCTTCTCCCAGCACCTGGGCATTCAGTGCGTGGCCGGGGGCTGCGCTGGGCCAGCTGGTGGAGCTGGAAGCCGTGCGCCTTTCCCGAAGCTGCCTGCTGCCCATCTTGTGTGTGCGTGTGTGTCTGCACAGCAGAGACCTTCGAGCTGAGCTGTGTCTTTTTTATTTTTTGTGGCAGGGTCTCGCTATGCTGTTCAGCCTGGTCTTGAGCTCACTTTGTAGCTCAGGCTGGTCTTGAACTTGATTCTCCTACCTCAACCTCCTAGGTGTTGGGATTACAGGTGTGAGCCGCCACATCTGGCTATCACCATCTTTTTTTAAATTTGGTTTTTAAATCATGTGACAGGGTATGCTCCGTTGCCCAGGCTGGACTCCCTCTTACCTCAGCCTCCCAAGTGCTGGGTCACAGGCGTGTTGGCCTGTCCTTGACCCTGTCCATTCATTATATTTTGGGGGTTACCAGCAATCCAACTTAGGACCCCACGTTCGCTAGGCAGGTGCTGCACTGCTGAGCTATATCCCTGGCTTGTGTCCATTCGTTCTTAAACTTTTCCCTCAGGAAAACAGTTGGGTCCCTCCAGTGAGGATGTTAGAATTTTTTTTTTTTTGAACTTTCTTTTGGTGGCGCTGAGCATAGTCCTGTGCCTGAGTTCCCTCCCCAGCCCGGAGGGTGTTGGTTCTGAATGCACACAGCCTGCTGCCGCTGCCTGTTGCTTCAAGGACTGGCAGAGAACGTATCTGCCTTCCTGGTGGGCTATGCGGTGGGTAGACTTTGCTGCCACCCTTTCTATGAAGCTGGGATTTACCTTACTGATTGAGCTTTGGCCTTTGTGCAGTTGACTGGGTTTTGTGATTGGATTAAACTGGGTCTGCTGAAGCCTTAACTTTAATGGTGTGACCTACTGCAGGGATGCTGAACAGGGCGAAACTCACTTAGGCCCCCCCACCCCCTGTAGTTTGCTTGCAGAGTTGGAGATTCCTGGGCTTGAATTTGTGATCTGGGGACCTGTGATCTGTGGTTTCTGTGATTTGTGGTCTGGGATTATAGGCTGGCGCCTCCATACCTGGCTGAAAAATCTGGAATTTCTGGTGCTTAGTTTTAACTTGTTGCCAGAGCATACAAACTATGTAGATTAGATCAAACAATGTCTTTTTTTGTTGTTGTGCAGAGAAAGGAGCCCAAGGCTTCGTGCAGCACGTGCTTTACCACTGAATTATTCCCTGGCCCAAACTTCCACTGATTATGTCACAGGTCTGTAGTTCAGAAATCTGTGCTTTCCACCAGGTCCAAAAGCCTCTGCTGAGCTGGTTGAGGTGGCAGACACCTGTGATCCTGGTGCTTGGGACTGAGGCAGGAGAGTTGCTGTGAGTCTAGCCACATAGTGAGACCTTGTGTTTTGTTTTTGTACGGTGGATTAAACCCATGACTTTGTGCTTGCCAGTTGCCAGTCAGGTGCTTCCACCACTGAGCTGAATCCCCAGCTGAGACTTTTTTTTTTTGCCTTTTTCTTTATTATCGGTACCAGGGAATTGAACTCACAACCACACACTTGCAAGGCAGGCGCTTATGGTCCTGAGCTAAATCCCCAGCCCTCAGCTGAGACTTTTTATAAACCCCTCTCCCGGCAAATCTGATGGCTATATTTCCTCATGGAGGCTCGGAGCACCTTGTTTTCTTTTTGTGTGGGGTTGGTGGAATTCCGTTTGTTGTGGTTGGGAAACTGGGGTCTCCATTTTTCACGCTGGCTCTAAACTGAGGGCCTCCTTCCCCTCGTGGATGCAGGTCCATCCATGGCCAGCCCCTCAGGGGAGTCCTCCGTGCCGACCTCCTCTGGTGGCTGCTTTTTATTTTTCTTTTGAGACAGGGTCTGCCTATATGTTTCAGTCTGGCTTTAAATTCCCTCTGTAGCCCAGACCAGTCCTCCTGCCTCAGCCTCCGGGGTGCTGGCAATGCCGTGTGGCATTGGAGGCGCCAGTCCTGCTTTTGAAACGCAGATGGCGGGCTCTCCGCTTTCATCAGAGCGGGTAGATTAGATCTCATCTCGGGTCTCCTCCTGGGGGACTCTGACCTCAGTCACACTGCAGGCCTTCTGCTGCCTGAAGCTACCTCATGGCTCCAGGCAGGGTCTGCGCTCCTGGGGCCCAGGCGCTGTTGTGCTGCCTACCCGGGCCGTGACAAGTCCCCCAGGCTTGTGGGAAGCAGAGGTAGGAGCTGCGGGGCGGCCTGAGGGGCGCACGCTGACGGGGCTGGCCGCGGCCAGGGCTTCTGTCCCAGCACTGCAGGGAACAAAGTGGAGATGGGCAGCGTTAGCGGAACCTCGCAGTCTGTGGTTGGCCCTGCCGCCAAATCCTATTCCAGGGCAGCAGTTCTGGCTTCAGGATGTTAGAGTCCCTGTCTGTGACCCTTTCTGTCCCGTCCCTGTGGTGTTTTCTGCCGCGATGAGTTTTCCTGAAGTGTCCGGGTACCCTGGCCTCCACCTCCCAGGACCCCTTGGACGGCGTGTCGGTGGCGTTGCGGCCTGACATCCTGGCTCTGCCTTTCCCACGGTGCAGGCACGCATGGCTCCGGGCTCCCTCTGCCCGGCTCCTGCCCACCATCCTGGATCCCCCTTCCTGGTTCTGTGGCCCCGTTTCCCAGCGCAGCGCTCGGCGTATGCCGTCCTGAGTTCTCCACCACAGTTAGTGTGTGACGGGAGCGGCTGCGGATGAGTCGGGGATCAGGAAGGAGCCAAGGTTGTGCCCTCCCTGCCACCCCAGTCCTGGGGGTCGAATCGGGGGGTGCTGTGCCCCTGAGCTGCGTGGCTGCGCCCATGCCCTGCTGCTTGGGGTGCTGTGCGGGGAATCGGACTGAGGGCCTGGAACGTACTAGGCGAGCGTTCTACATCCCTGATCTTCTGTCAGTTTTTTGAGACAGGGTGTCACTAAGTGGCCCATGCTGGCCTCCACCTTGTGATCTTGCTTCAGCCCGAGTAGCCGAGATCATAGCTTACAAGTCGCCAGGCCGGGCCCTCCAGCTTTGCCTGAGCCGCTCTTGGGCGTCAGCCACGTGAGGTGGTGTCACGAGTTGGGGGGGTAGGGACAGACTCCTGGGACCAAGCAGGGTCCACACGGCCTTCGGGTGTCTCCCAGTGGAGCCCTCTTTTCCTTGCCCGGCTGACCATCATGGTGCACACGAAGGCTGGAGGGGTTTAGCCCTGCAGATCTGTCCTGGGCACAGATATGCATGTGGGTCCTGTATTCGCCGTCCTAGGCCGGAGGAGGCTCATCCTTTGTCTGGGGCAGCGACATAGTGCGGGCTGGGGCCCCGCTGCTGGTCTGGGTGGCTGCTGGGTCCAGCCACTGTTTCAAGGACTAGGTGATAGGCGGCTGTGATAGTGTATTTCTGTGATCCCAGCTCCTCTGGAGCTAAGGGATCATGAGTTTGATGCCGGCCTGGACAGTTTGGTGAGATAATGCTTAAAATGAAAAATGAACTGGAAAAAATAAAGCTGGGCATGATGGTTTATGCCTGTAATCCCAGCACTTGGGAGGCTGAGGTAGGAGGATTCCTCTGGGGTCAAAGCCTGCCTGGGCTACATATAATCCAAAACCAGCCTGAACTACATAGCAAGACCCTGTCCCATTTTAAAAAACAAAACAAACAAAACGCCGTGGTGTAGGTCAGGGCAGCGAGCTTGAATGCAAGGTTGTGGGTTCAGTCCCTAGTTACCCTGAAAACAGACCATAACTGCAGAATAGCTGGGGCTGGACGCCTACTTCAGAGGGAGAGAACCTGGAGCTTCACACGGGCCAGGCGCTGGGTCCCATTGGGAAGGGGACCTATCACTGCAGGAGGAGATGAGGGCACCTGGCTGGAAGTGCCCGGATGTGCGGTTGCTGTTGTTCCTGGCTCTTTGCCTAGTGCCAGGTCACGTGACTCGTGCCTGCAGGAGGCTGCAACATACGTGGTTTTAGTTTAATTTTAGTGTTGTGTGTTTGGAACCCAGAACCTTGCAAGCACTCTGCCTCTGAGCTGTGCACCGCCAGGCTGTGGGGCCCCCAGGAGGTACAGTCTGTGTCACACGGTTTATGGCCGCTGTGCCTAGCGCTGCAGGTGTCTACGCGGAGTCCTTTCCGGAATGCCCGGCTAGCTGGGACGCTCCTGCCCAGGGATGCCCGTGGCTGGCTACCCCTTTGTGACCGGACCGCAGCCTGGCACACAGGAGGTCCCGGCAAATGCGGGTGGCCCTGGGAGCAGAAGACGGAGCCACGCGCACTCCCGGAGCAGCAGTGTTGGCCCCGCAGTGGCCTCGGGGCTGCTGATAGCTGAGCTCCTGGGCTTTGTCGCTGTGGGCTGGAGGTCTGGAGCTGGCAGGGGCCTGCCTGGTCACTGCCTAGGGCACCCCCCTCCTGACCACGAGGGACACCGGCCTGGCTGGTCGGACCTGTTCTGCCCTGGCCAGGACAGCAGCCCTCCCTCCGTGGTGTCTTCCCTTCTTGCTCTGTTTAGTTTTTACACGTGCACCCAAGAGTCTGGCCAGTCGTCCCCAAAACCAAAAAGCTGCTCGGCTCACAGTGAGATGCTGCAGCCCCGCCTCCCCCCCCCCCCCCCAGCAGCAGCTGGCTGTCCAGCGTCGCCCTGGTCTAGTTCCTGTGACTCTGGGCACGCTGTGGCACCCATTATTTTATTACCCAACTGAAGGTGTTCACTCTGAGCTGCGTCCAGCCTTCTTTAAATTGTTGAGTTGCCCCATCCTGGGCTTGAACTTGTGATCCTCCTGCCTCGGCCTCCCAGAGTGGATTAGAAATGTGCACCAGGACGCCTGGCCTGTGGCACCCCTTTTTTATGGGCTGTTGTCAGACTCAGCTGGAGGATGACAGCTGCAGATCATCCAGCGTGCGGAATGGACCCCCGTTTCACCTGCTCTTTTCATGTTAGGAAGCTCTTGTGTCACCCAAAAAACGACCTCAGAAAGGTCCTTGTTGTGGTCACAAGCGACATACTCCTTGTAGACATTGCCAGAAGACATGCTGGACTTCTTAGGGGTGGGGTGAGAAAGGACCATATGTTTTTCCCCTAAACACTCATGTTAAACAGTCCAAAATGCTAAAAGTATAGTATTGATTCTTGATGGTAAATGAATATTATTTCCCATTTCCTTCTTTCAGGCTCAAAGACTTGGAAAGAAACAGTTTGACAGAAAAGGTAATCCCTGCTTGTGTTTTTAAAACAGTTTAAATATAACATTGTTATTTTATTTTATTTTATTTTTTTTTGAGACCGGGTCTCACTACCTAGTTCAGACTGGCCTTGGTCTGGCTGCGCCACAGCCCAGGCTGGCATCGGACACGCAGTCCGGGTACTGGGGTCACTGGTGTGCACCACCATGGCCAGCTCCTCCTGGAGGGGGGCCTTCAACCAGCCTGGAGATGCGTTTTGTTACTGTTTTTTTTTTTTTTTTTTTTTTTTTTTGTACTGGGAATTGAACTGAAAACCTGCAGAGTAAACGCTTTATTTACTGTGTAGGGCAAAACGATACCTATCCATGTCCAGTGCAGAGGTTTCAGTCTCTCCCGCCTGAGAGTGGCTGAATCTGCAGGTGCAGAGCCCAGGACAGAGGGCCCCGACTGGGGTGGCGTCTGGTCACTGACATGAGAGCGGGCAGCTTAGTTCCCTGCATCTGTAGTCTGTGGCCTGCCCGCTGGGGACCGCTAAACCCGTGTTCCTCCCCTTAGGAGTGCGTGAAGGAGAAGCTGAATCTGTTGCATGAATTTCTGCAAACGGAAGTCAAGAATCAGCTGTGTGACTTGGAAACCAAATTACATAAGGAGGAGCTCTCGGAGGTGAGTGAGCTCGCGGCCTCCTGGCCCCCAGAAGGCGTCTGCTCTCTGCGACTTGTGTGACCAGGGACGCCTGTCCCCTTGTTCTTATTGTCACTGGTTTCCATTCACTGCTACTCAAATTATCCTTTCCTGCTGTAGGAGGGCTACCTGGCTAAAGTCAAATCCCTTTTAAATAAAGATTTGTCCTTGGAGAACGGAGCTCACGCTTTCAGTCGAGAAGTGAACGGCTGCCTAGAGAACGGGAGCCAGGCCAGCGGCGAAGGCCGGAGAGCGCGCATGGCGGAGCCACACAGCCCCCCGCACACCAGCCCCAGGCCTCGGGCGCCGCGGAGGAGCAAGTCCACTGGCGAGGCCCAGCGTAAGGACGGGCAGGCCCGGGTCAGGCTTCACCGGGTGGGGCCTGGGCCTGCGCCCAGCTTGCGTGTGTGTCGTGTTGGGCACAGAAGCAGCCTCGAGCACCCCAGTGCATGCTTCTCCTGAGCTGTGGCCGCAGCCTCTGGGTTCCTTCCGACCAGTTCAGTCGCGCGGATGGTGCTCGCTCACAGGAGCTGCCTGCTGACGTTTACTGTTCTGTGCTGGGATTGAGACGGGGCCTTTCCTCTGAGCCACATCCTCAGCCTTCGTTTCATTTTACTGTGTTTTGCTGAGTTGCCCAGACTGGACTAAAAGTTGATTCTCCTGCCTCAGCCTGCTAGAGCGCTGAGATGGCAGGTGTGTGCCACTACACCCGGCTCGTACTTTGACTCTTAGCTTTTGACCTCTTCCTGGTCAGGATGATACTCTTGGTGTTGGGCAGGGGTGGTGCCCACCTGGCCACAGCTGGTAGCAGGTGCTGACCGTCGACACGGGAAGGCTGGCCCTGTGTGGAACTGACCCCACAGGGTACACAGCGCCAGCCTCTGTGGTGGCTTGCGTGAGAGTGCACGGTGCTGTGGACCTGTTCATAGCAGCCTTCTTTTGTTTTTTGAACAGCTGGAACTTCGGCCAGTCCCAAGGTGACCAGGAGAACGACCAGGCAGACTACTATCACAGCTCATTTCGCCAAGGGGTCAGTGTGTGGGGAGTGGGCTGCGGCTTTTTGTCCAGGCCGAGTAGATCCTTTAAGCATAAAAAGAATTGGTAGGGTGTGATTCAGCAGACCTGATTCCAAATTGCATTTTGTGTGTGTGTTTCTGGTACTGGAATTTTAAACGACGGTCCTTGTGCTGAACTGCATCCCCAGCCCTTCTTAGTGTTTGTTTGCTAAGTTATCCGGGCGGGGCTTACACTGGGCTCCTCCTGCCTCGGCCACCCAGAGTGCTGGGCATACGGTGTGTGCCGCCACGCTGGCTCCGCATAGGCTGACTTGCAGTTTCCGGTCACTAGACATTCACGAATAGCATTTATGAAGACCTCGGCTATTTTTATTCTTACGGGAAACCTCAGATAAACATACTTGGGGAGTGTAGTTTACTACACCCCCAAATACCCAACGTTCACAATCACCAGCTCACAGCGTTGCTTTACCCCCCGCCTCGGCTGGATTACTTTGAAATGAATCTTGGACATGCTGTTCCATACACAAAACCAAGACATAGAGCCAGGTGTGGTGGCTCACGCCTGTCATCCCAGCACTCGGGAGGCTCGGGCAGGAAGATGGTTGCGAGCTCGAGACCAGCCTGCGCTGCAGAGTGAGCTGAAGGCCAGCCCAAGATGCACAGTGAGACCCTGTCTCAAAAAGACGGAAAAACAACAAAAAACGTGAAGAAGGCTGTCTTTATGCCTCTCAAGGTTTTGTTTTGACACTGCTGGGCTGGAACCCAGGCCTCGTGCATGGTACTGGTGCCGCACCACTGAGCTGCACCCAGCCCCAGCTTCTTACTTTATTTTTTTTTTGTTTGAGACAAGGTCTTGCTATGCAGTTCAGGCTGGCCTCGAACTCACTGCAGTCCTCCTGCCTCAGTCTCCCAAGTGCTGGAGTGACAGGCATGCGCCACCACGCCCGGCAGCCTTTTATTTTTTGAGGCTGATGGCTTAGTCAGTGTGCCATGTTGGCAGAGGTGCGTAATGTCTCTTCCTTCGTGACATTAACAGCCGTTGTGCAGTGTCTGGATCCGTGACTTACTGCTTGTGAAGTGGCTCTGTCCTAACCTGTCGTTCAGAGGCGTTTACAGAAGCCTGTTCCCACACTGGGAGCAAGGGCCTCGCTCGGGTGGGGAGGGGTCCGCGCCCCGAGTTGGGCCTGGAGGTGCCCTGGGAGGGAGGAGTGTAAGTCACTGGGTCCCCAAGGCCGGGTCTCCAAGGCCGGGTCTCCGAACTCACGGTCGCTTCGTTGTACGTGACAGCCCTGCCAAGCGGAAACCCGGGGAGGAGTGTGACAGGCCCGAGTCCGAGGAGCCGGTTGGGGAGGAGGACAAAGACCAGGTAAGGCTGGGCTGGCCGCCGGCTCGCTGCGGTTGCCTGCCCTTCGGGCCGTGGAGTGAAAACCTTGGCCGTGGGTTCTCCAGGGAACGTGGATGGGGCCGTACGCGTGGTGTGTGTGATGCGCCCTAGAGAAACAGACCGCGTATTCACACGGGAGTGAGCGTGAGCCGCTTAGGGAATCCACCCCCAGGATGGGGGAAGCCTGCCGGGCAGCTGAGGCAGGCGGGTGGCAAGTTTGAGCCTAACCTGGACTGTATCGAGTTCTTGTATCAAAATACAAAATAAAGGGCCAGGGATTTAGCTCAGTACCATAAACTCCTGCCTGGCAAGTGCAAGGTTGTGATTTTGATCACCACTACCCCCCAAAAATAAAATAAAACATAGTGGTGTATGTATATAACCCCAGCACTCTGGAGGCTGAGGCAGGAGGATCGTTGCGAGTTTGAGACCAGCCTGGGCTACAAAGTGAACTGAAGGCCAGCCTGAACTGCATAGTGAAACCCTGTCCCTTTAAAAAGGTGGTGGGGGGGCTGGAGCTGGAGCTTGGGGTGAAGTCCCTGGGTTTAATCCCGTGCCAGCCAACATCGGCATCCAGAGACGGAATCTGTTTTTCTGTTTTAGTGCTGGGGATTGAACTGACGGCCTGGTACCTGCTAGGCAAGTTCTATACTTTTGGTTACAGTGGCAGCCCTCGGATGAATGAGTATATATATATATGATTAATGTTTTGGTACCAGGAATCAAACTCGGGACCTTGTGCTTGCCAGGCAGGCACATGTCCCTCGCACGTGGCTGTTACGCAGATTTCACATGAAGTCCAGAGGGGCTCCTTGCACCCTTCACCTAGCTGTCCTTTGGACTGGACTGGACACGGCTTTATTTAGGTGGCGTTAACGTTTGTGTGCGTGTGTATTGCTTCTGTGCAGTTTGTGTTTGCTGTACTGGGGTTTGAACCCAGGTCTGCACTGAGCTACGTCCCCGACTGCTTTTATTCTGAGGCCATATCTTTGTAACTTGCCCGGGCTGGGTTTGATTTGTGATCCTCCTGCCTCCGCCTTCCCAGTGGCTGGGATGACAGCATGCACCACGGTGCTCGGCTTCTCTGTGCATAGTTAAATCAGAGGCCTGTGCGAGTGATTGGTGTCTTCCTGCTGTGGTCAGGATGTGGGCCCAGGACCTGCTCGTGCTGGGCGAGTGCTTTGCTGGTGAGCTCCACTCGGGGCCTGAAGCATGCCTTTGTGTAACCTTGACCTCAGATGCGATACGGATCTGTTTGGAGCGACCGTTTGCTTTTACTTGGGTTTCCGGTGCTGGGTCTGGGACCCCGGGCCTGGAGGAGGCCGGGCACACGTTCGCACTGAGCCCGTCCCTGGGCCCGTGCCCGCCACAGTTTTACCCCTTGCAAGTTAAATAGAAGGTGTCTGGAGCTGGACACCTGTGGCCTTCGGAACCTAGTGTGTCACGGGTCCCTCAGAAAATGAGGTCAGTGACTGTCCTCGCTACCCCGTGTGAATCCCAAAGCATCACTTGGATTTTGCCCAGTACTGGAGAGCTGCTGCTCTCCCCTCTGCGATGTCCCCGGAGTGGCCGTGTGCTGTCTGGCCTCTCCCTTGCTGTCAAAACCAGAGTGACGTGTTTCCTGGACTTTCTCCCCCAAACCCTGATGCCCCGGATTCACGTTGGTTTTTTTCCTTTTGGTACCAGCGATTGAACTTAGGACCTTGTGTTTACCAAGCACGAGCTTACTTTATTTTACTTTTTTTGAGACAGGGTCTTGCTGTGTAGTTCAGGCTGTCCCCCAGGCTGGCCCTGAACTCTCGGCAACCCTCCTGCCTCAGCCTCCGAGTGCTGGGACTGTAGGTGTGAACCAGCACGTCCAGCTAGTCTTCTGTTTTAAACAGTGCTGAGTATTGAATGCAGAGACTCCTGGTACAGGGGAGCGCTTCATGCCGCAGCCCCCGCCCCATCTTTAACCACATTACTTGTATGTACTTAAACTTTGACTCGTGCTATTGGGGATCTTCCTTTGAGACCAGTAACCTTATTTTTTTCTTCCTTGCATTCACACAGGATGAGAAGAGGCGGCGAATTACGTCCAAAGAGCTGTAAGAATTGATTTCTGTACCTTCTCATGTGTTGTGTGCATGTATCTCAAATACGGAAACCCCTTGTTTGGAAAGTTTATGAAGAGCTTGAGCAAGCGTTCCCCTGTGTAAGGACAGGGAATTTCAGGGTCAGAGCGTGGATGTTTGGGTTCGAGTCTCCTCCTGCTTTGTTGGACAATGAGTCCAGTGACAGCCACTGCTTACCGGAGCTGGGCTCAGACCTCACGCTCGGGCTGGTGCTGAGTGACGTGTCTCCAGGCTGCTGAGCTGGCGCCTGCTGTGGGATCCGAGGGCAGGTCTTGGGCAGCTGCCTCTGGGAATGACCCTGTGCGACTCACGTGAGGTGTTCTGGTTTGCTTGGCAGCCACCCTGCGGCAGAACCGGAAAGCGAGACCCCAGCAGCCCACGCCCCCCAGGAGGGCGAGAGAGATGGGAAGGTAAGCCCCCCAGCTGCTCCTCCCCTGATGAGTCCCCGAGGCTGTAGGAGCGCGGCAGGGTCGGGGGACTTGAGGACGGTAGCTCTGTCACAGAAGGGCCAGCGCCCTGGCCTCGGCTGCCCCTGCACGGCTGCGCTTGGCCCGGTGCGCCCCCGGCTCCAGGCGGGGCGGGCGGCTCCTGCTGCAGGCACGCACACATGCACGCACGCACGCCAGGCCCCGCTCAGCCCGCGGCTGCCTGAATCAATCGGAGCTTTAGTTCTCCGCTGTACACATGCAGGTCTCTTTGGTTTTGTTGTTCGTTACGATGTTTGAGAGTTTGTCCAGGCCAGGCATGATGTCACATGTCTGTAAAACCAGCACTCCAGAGGCTGAGGGTTTGCCCCTAACCTTGGCAGCTTTGTGACTCAGCAAGATCCCTTTCTTTGGGCGGGGAGACCAGGAGTCAAACTCATGACCTCAAACTTGCCAGGCAGACACTTGTGCCACTGAGCTATATCCCTCACCCGGACCCACCTTCTTAAAAAAAAGGATGGGGCTGGGGACTTAGCTCAGCGGCATAAGTGCCTGCCTTGCAAGTGCGTGGTCATGAGTTCAATCCCTGGTACTGGTGTGAAAAAGATTAAAAGGAGAAAGTAGCTCGGACAAAGACCCGGGGTTCATTCCCAGACCAGGGCCAACAGAAGGCCCCTTACAAACCCCAGGGGCCGGCGAGTGCCTGCCTGGCGCCAGTAAGAGGCTGGTGGTCACGCCGTCAGCCTGGGTAACTGACAGGTCTCGTGAGTGGGTCACCTACCCTGGTGAGAGTCGGCACCCTTCACAGGAGCAGCCCAGGGAGCAGCTGGGCCCTGGCCTGAGAAGGAGCAGGGCGCTGCTGAACCAGGCCCGCGGTCACCCCAATGACCGCTGCCCACAGCGGGATCTGTTGGGCTTTGTCACCCCTGCCCCGTGGTCTCCTTGCACAGAGTAGGTCTCATTTTTTGGGCAGTACTGGAGCCTGAACCCAGGGGGCTTCTGCCATGAGCTATATGGCCCGTGCTCACCTTTTTGCCCAAGGTCTTCTTGATAATGTAGTCCGGGCTCAGGATTCAGACTCAACCTCCCAGGTGCTGGGGTACAAGCATGTGGCACCACACCTAACTTCTTTTTGTGATACCAGGTATTGAACTTATGACCTTGTGCTTGCCGGGCAGGCACTTAAGCCGCTGAGCTGTTTGTTTTTCAAAACAGGTTCTAGGCTATGTAGGCTGGCCTTGAGATCAAGGGTAACCCTCCTGGCCTCAGCCTCCAGGGCTGAGGTCACAGGCATGCACCACCATGCTTGGCTTGTTTTGGTGGGTGGGTGTTGTGTTTTTGGGACAGGGTCTCATTGAGGTGTCGAGGTGCCCTCAAGCTTGGCACCCTCCCGCCTCAGCCTCCTGAGTATTTGGAACTTCAGGCACATGCCACCGCACTGCAGCGTGTTAGGGTCTCTTTTCTGTGGGTTTCTTCACGGTCTCGCCTCACCTCCAGATCATCTGGAAGGTAGCCTGCCCTCGCTCCGCCCCTCGCCCGCACCTGCCAGCCTGTAAAATGGTTCCAGGCGTGCGTGCAGCACTTGCCGTGAAGCACTCGCATGGAAGCGTTAGAACCAGTCAGGAGAACTTAACCGGGATTTCTTTCCTCCCCCTAGGAGGACCGGAGGCTCCGAAGTCAGACCAGAGAGCCGTAAGTACAGGCGGCATCCCTCGGTGTGCGGGGCCTGGTAGCTGCACCGAGGCTCAGCTCTGCTCGTGCTGTGTGGGCAGCTGAGTGTCCGGGAAGCTCGGGCCACTGTAGCAAAGGGCGCAGGCAGCGGGCTGGTTCAGACAGCACTGGGTCAAAGGCCACTCCGTGAGCTGGGCGCAGTGACATGTACCTGCCCTTCCTGCACTTGGGGAGACTGAGGCAAAAGGATCCCAGGTTCAAGTCCAGCCTGGGCGACTTGGTGAGCCCCTGTCACAAGCTAATGGAGGACTGGGGTTCCGGCTCCAGTACCGGGAGTCTTGTCAGTGACCCCTGCCGTGAGGACACTGCCTGGCTCGGGCAGCGTGTCCTGAGCCCATCCATCTGGCTGAGTGTCCGTCCCTGCTATCAGCCTGGGAACACTGTCCTGACGGGCAGAGCATGAGGGCACGAGGAGCCTTTCTGAGCCAGCTCCCTGGAGCAGGTACACAGGGCCTGGCCAGGGCAGTCCCGGGGCCTGATGGAGAGAGTGGACACCGGGCCCCTGGAGTGTGGTCAGCTCGTGTGGCTGACACTGTGCTGCTGCTCAGAGCCACACGGGCCCCTGTGCCTTCCTCCAACAGGCGGGCTCTCTCTGGTCAGCTCTGGCCACTCAGTGGGCTCCTGTCCTTGTGTCATTACCTTTTTGTTCTTTTTGGTCCTGGGGATGGAACTCATGACCCTGCGCTTGCCAGGCAGGCACTGAGCTAAATCTCCAGCTTGGTATTACTCTTAAGACGGCCTCACTCAGCACTAAGTGGTCCAGGCTGGCCTTGAACACGCCTCGGCCTCCTGAGTAGCTGGGGTCGCAGGTGGGTGCCCCTGAACCCAGTCGTGGATTGTGTTCATGTGTAGGGCTGTGTGCAGCTCAAAGCTGGGCTCCTTCCCCAGTGACCGCACGCACTTGGTCCTGGAGGTGCTGCGGGAGGGTTTCTGCAGATGGTGAGCCCTGGGTCTCCCTCGATGGAGCCGAGCTCTGCGACGGGAGGGGTTGCAGGTGTGTGAGCCTCGGGGCTGCCCACGGCAGTGCCCAGCGTGGCGCCCAGCCTGGCCTGCCTGACATTTCTGTGTTCTGCTGCAGAACCCCGACAAGGGCGGCAGACGCCGACAAGAAAGCCAAGCCTGGGACTCGCCCAAACACGGACGGGGATGGAGGCGAGCGGGTAAGGGCCATCTTGGGTTTCCCTGGGCTGCCTTAACTCAGGGGTCCTGTTGGGTGCAGGACAGCACCTACGCTCAGCGCCAGCCCCAAATCCAGGCTGGGGGCCCCTGGCAAGCTCACCGGGCCTGCCCCGGGACAGGGTTGTTGTCACTGCACCATCTGTGCTGACGGGGTGAACGCTGAGTCGTCCTGCTCACTGTCCTGGTGCGGAGGGGAGAGGGAGGGAGGGAGGGAGGGAGGCCACTTCTGCTCTCCGTGTTTTCACTTTGAATTGTGTGGAAGGGGGCTGCAGGCCTGCACCACCACACCTAGTTTCTCTCCCACACACACTGCAGGTTCCTGAGCTTGATTCACCTTGTTTAATACCCGGGTGCCCACTGTGGGGAGCCCTCCCCCCTAAGCGGAGGCTGGGAAGAGCTTTCCGGAGCGGGAGTTGGCAGGGCCCTGTTGCAGGGCCCAGCTACCCCAGTGCCTGTTCTGCGAGGCTTTCTTAGTAAAGACGTCTCACTTAGGTCTCTGCTCGGCTGCTTGGCAGGGATGAGTGTGCCATGGCTGTGCCACACAAAGCCAGAGGTGGTTACTGGGTGGCCCCACATGTGTGCCTGGGCCTGGGGATGGGACCCGGGGCTGTGGCATCGGGCTTCATCCCCAGTCCTTGATTTGAGACACAGCCTTGCTAACCTGCCCGGGCTGGGCACATGCTTGTGATCGTCCTGCCTCCTAGAGGGCTGGGGCACCTCACCGACTGCCTGGCCCTTTATGGAAGTAGTTTGCCACCCGTTGGTCTAGATTTGTCAGTGCCGGGCATGGTAGTTCTGTAGCCTCTGCCCTGGCAGCGCGGGGCCGGGAAGGCAGAGGCTGTGGCCTCCGTGCTGCCCTGTCCCACCCAGGCCCTGCCATCTGGGCCCGCAGTGCCGAAGCGGTAAACCCCACTTTGTCTTGCTCGGCTGTCTCAGAAACCAACATGCCCTCCCTTTTTCTCCACCTGCCCCGTTGTCAGGAGGAAAAGAGGTCCAGAAGCCAGCCCCGGGATCTGTAAGTGACCGCTGCCTGAGTGTGGGGTTGCCTCGTGTCCCAGGGTCCGTCCCGAGCACCGTGTGATGGCCGGTGTGCAGGCAGCCATTGCTGCTTGGGATGGTGGAGCCGTCGGGCAGGACTGGGGACCATGTCGCCTGGCCGTGCCCACTCTGTCAGCTCCCAACACGTACCCGGGCAGCCCGAGGGGTGGCTTTGGTTCTCGGTTGCGCCCTTCCTTCCCGGCGCTGATGTCCGCTGTGTTTCTTGCCCACAGCGCTGCCAAGCGGAGGACCGAGGAGATGGAGGGCGGCTGTGCCAAGCCGCAGACCTCGGAGGAGAGGGACGAAGACGAGAAGGTACAGCCGCGTCTCCGGGCGCCGCCTCGGCTGGGTTGCTTAAAGTTGTTTCTTTTAATGTTTTCTTTTCCAGCGGCTGGGTGTTGGCTCACTGTACAGCATTAGCCTTGCATATGCCTGGCCTAGGTTTCACCCCTAGCACTTCAGCAACAGGCAGTTTATTCACCTACACACACGCGCGTGCACACACACACACACACACACACACACACACACACATGCACATGTGCACGCATGCAGCCTCGTGCTCGTGTTGAGACGCCCCAGAGCAGCCGTGGGACAGACCCCGCCCCTCGGCCAGTGCAGCACTCGCCCCGCCGGCCTGGCCCGCTCCCCTGGAAGCAGCAGCGCCTGGGGCAGGCCTGGCTGGAAACAGCCGTGACCCGTTTATCTTAAAGCAGCGTCAGATGGCTTCTAGTTGGTCTGCAAGTCACCAGATCCCCCAGGCTTCTTTGTTTTTTTTACTCCAGCACTGGGAATTAAACCCGGCCCTTATTTCTGGGCTGCCTTTCAGCCCTCTGTGTTGTCTTTGGAAAACAAGGGGGTCGCTGAATTGTTGGGCGACACAGCCTGTGAACTGGGTGCTGACGGGATTTCGCCTCCCAGTGACTGTCACAATGTACCTAACACGGTTGGAGACGGCTGTGGCGTCACCAGGCAGTGACACCTTGTGGGACCCTGCCATTTGCATGGCCCACCCTTGCCCCAAGCACCATGCAGCTCGTGGCCGTGTTAGGTCGAGAGGGGCCGTAAATACCTCCTCGGGTTTCTGGCTCCTCGTAAATCATTGATCTGCTTCAGGCCATCTGCTCTGCGGGGCCCTGGGTTCGGCCAGCTGGTGACCCTGGTGTCCCTCGGTGTGTTGCGTGCAGGCAGCACGGCCAGCTGCAGCTGTGTCACTTTCTCTAGTCCAGTGCCACAAGGTTCCCTGTCACTTCTGACACGCTCTCGAGGTGGCACCGTGTGCGTCTGTGGCATCACCTCCAGGGTCACTAGGGTCTCCTGGTGCTGCAGGACTGACTGTGGGCCTCGGTCCTGTCCTGTGAGTGTGTTCTGTGCACCGTGAGCTCCCCTCAGATGTGGGCGGGTTTTTGTGTTTTCCTGTGCTGTGTTGGAGCCCAGGGCCTCAGGCAGGCTTGGCAGCTCCCCAGTGGACCGCAGCCCTCACGTGACTGTCCTCACCTCCTTGATTTCGGTAGGAGTTTGTCGCAGTGAGACTCCAGCTCCTTCCCTGCTAGGATTCTAGAAATAGATGTCCCCTGCGCTGCTGAGGTCAGGCCGCTGGAACCAGTCGAGCAGCTCACGTAGCAGACGTTGACCTCTCTCGGTCCTGGAGGCTGGTAGGCCAAGTCAGAGTGGCCACGGGCTGGTTCCCAGAGGCCCTGCTGTGCGCAGCTGGCCGCCGCCTCTGTGTCCTCACGCGGCTCTCCTGCCTGACCACCGCACTTCCTTTATCTGTGATGGTGAGGATGATCTCAGGACCTTTGCACTTCTTACTCTTCCTCCTTTGTTTCCTCTGTTTAGGAGGAGAAGAGACGCAAAACCATATCCAAAGAACCGTAAGAACTTTTCTGTTTTTACAAAGCAGATCATAAGAAAAAGGCAGATGATACTATGAGACTGTCGGAGAGAGATGAACAGGAAAGGGCCAGAGAGGGTGGTGAGGAGGGTGGGCATGAGCTGGATGTTACCTGGGTGTGTGCAAACACCACACCGAAACCCAACATCGTGTAAAATAGGCATCAATAAGACAGTAAAACACAGTGGCCAGTGTGGTGGTGCACACGTGTAATCCCAGCGCTTGAGAGGCCGGGGCAGGAGGCTCACTGTAACTCCAAGGCCAGCCTGGGCTCCATAGTGAATTCAAGGCTGCCTGGACCACAAGGCAAGATCTTGTCTGAAACAAAAAAGTCAAAGAACAGAAGGTTTGCAGTGACACTCCGGAGCAGGTCAGGTCAGGGCCAGGGGTCCCTGGTGCTGCAGGTCGTGAGCTCGCAGAAGAGCAAACACTGTGCTTTTCCCCAGGGTGGAGAAGAAACCGCCTCGAAACAAGACCGTGGTGACCCCCAGGGTGAGCGTCCCGAAGAGGTGGGAGGGAGCGGAGTGGGGGTGCTGGGGGCGCTGCGCCCTGAGCCCCTCTGTTTCCTCAGCTCCAGCCCCCCAGGTGTGTCCAGTGTGGGCAGTTCCTAGACGACGTGGACCTCAAGTACGAGCAGCACCCTCCGGATGCGGTGAGTGCCCGGCCATGCCGCCCCGTCCACGGCCCCCAGATTGCCTGCCTCTGCCTAATGCTCCCGTGTCCTGCAGCTGGAGGAGCCCCAGATGCTGACCAATGAGGCACTGTCCATCTTCGACTCCAACGAGTCTGGCTTTGAGAGCTACGAGGCCTTTCCACAGCACAAGATCACGTGCTTCAGGTAACGGCAGCATGGCCGAGTGACGCCACCACGCCTGGTGTCCGGGAGGGACGTCCCCAGCCCCTGACGGTGGCCTCCTAGACCTGCTGGTCCTTCATGGAGAAGAGTCGTGCAGCTGGCCTAGGCCGTGGCTGCTCTGCATGTTACATCTTGATTCTGTACACACCCCAACACCCCCAAGGCCACACACCTCTGTGTGCTCCCCTAGGACTGGACCCAAGGCCTTCACACTGAGCCGCATCCGTGGCCCCTTGTTAAATTCTATTTTTCACTTTTTATTTTGACACTGGATCTTGCTAAGTCATTGGCAGGCTGGGCTTGAACATGCAGTCCTCCTGCCTCAGCCTCCCGGGGCAGAATTACAACGATGAGTCACCGTGCCTGGCTGGGTCATACTGCGCCGGGAGCTGATAGGGGTCGTCATGTGTTTGGTACCGCAGTTCCCCGCCTCAGTGAAAGGAGGAAATGGTGACTTCTGTTGGGAAGTGTAGGCCGAGTGGCCCTTACCAGTAACGCTTGGAGCCAAAAGCCTGAAGGAGGGCGAGTTTCTGGATTCCAGAATATTTGCATATGTACAGTGGTGACAGGCAGGACCCCCGTCAGACTGGAGAGTCACTGCCGTCCCACGCCTGCCGTGGCCGTGTGCGGAGGGTCGCTTTGTGAACTGTTCCTTGTGCACGAGCAGTGTTTGACTTCCGCCTGTCGCACGCGGTCAGTCCCATGAGCTCAGTCACATCCCCATGTGACACCGGGTGGTGCTCAGCAGTTAGGATTTTGGAGCATCTGGGAGCCTGGGTTAGGGAGCCAGAGGGACCAAACCTGGGGCAGCGTCTCTGCGGGGACAGCAGGTTGGGCTGGGCGCCTCCGGTGGCCGCAACGCCCAGGCTGCTTTTGGGACACTGTGTGGCCAGGCTGGGATGCCTGTATCTGCCAGGCGAGTCCCCTATGGCTGGCTGCTGGCCATGCCTCCCTCTCCCCACAAGGCCACTGCCCCCCTACCCCAGCTGTCTCTGGGCCTGCCCACAGCAGCCCTCATGGAGACTGTTGGGTGAACAGGGCATGTGGCAGTCCAAGGCCTCCTGGTGGTGTCACCAGCCGGCCCAGCTGTGGCTCCTCCAGCAGGGGCACGGAGGACGCTTCCTGTGCCTGGCAGCAGTGGCCTGGCGCCCGGGGATGGGGAGTGACCAGAGGCCGTCGCTGGGCCGAACCTTTATTTTGGGTGACAGAAGGCCTTGGAGCTGGGCAGGTGGTAACTGCATAGAACAGGCTTCTCCCCCTGGACGGCTCTTGCTGACCTGTCATTGTCACCGTGGCAGCCCACGCGCGCTGGGTGGGCAGGGAGTGGCAGAGCACAGTACTAAGTGAGTGGCCGCAGGCAGCTGTGTGGGGCTTGGACTTGGTCTGGCCCCGTCGCCTGGGCCTGGCCCCGTGCCGTGACCGCCTTCGGGGGCAGCTCGTAAGTGCCCTTTGCCGCCCGTCTAGCGTGTACTGTAAGCGAGGTCACCTGTGCCCCATCGACACCGGCCTCATCGAGAAGAATGTGGAGCTGTACTTCTCTGGCTCTGCCAAAGCGATCTACGAAGAAGACCCCTCTCTGGAAGGTGAGTGGGTGTCCCAGGGCCGCGTTGGGGGCCAGCCGGGGGCTTGAAAGCAATCACACCCAGCTTTCTTGGGAAGTGACAGCACAGGGGGAGCTGGTGCCTCTGTCCCTGCCAGCTGCAGCAGTGCCCCGGAGCAGTGCCTCTCCCTGGGAAACCCTTTATGCTTCTAGGTGGTGTTAATGGCAAAAACCTCGGGCCCATCAACGAATGGTGGATCACAGGCTACGACGGTGGCGAGAAGGCGCTCATGGGCTTCAGCACTGGTGGGTGTGGCGGGCTGCGGGGGGGGCCGCGGGCTGAGCTGTGGCAGGTGCTGCTCTGGGTTCTGCCGTTGGTCCTTGGGGTTTTATTTTCTAATTTTTTAGTGTGGAATGGTTTCCACGCTGCTCCCTGCTGACCTGTGTACCTGGAGTCCTCCACGCTCAGGAAGGACGGGTGGGAAGATTGCTTGGGCGCTCAGGAAGGCATGTGCACAGATAAGACAGGACTGAGGCCGGGCACAGTGGCACACGCTGCAATCCCAGCACTCGGTAGGCTGAGGCAGGAGGGTTGCTGCGAGGTCCAGGCCAGCCTGGGCTACACCGTGAGGTCAAGTCAACCTGGACTACAGAGTGAGACCGTCTCAAAGACAAAAAAAAGATGCCTCGAGACAGAGGTGCTGATGGCTGTAATCGGATGCTTACAGGTTGATCATTTGAAAAACAAAACAAATAAAAACAAAAACATTGGCGTGTCCCCCCAGCCTTTGCGGAGTACATTCTGATGGAACCCAGCCCGGAATACGCGCCCTTCTTCGTCCTGGTCCAGGAGAAGGTCTACATGAGCAAGATCGTGATCGAGTTCCTGCAGGGCAGTCCTGACGCCACCTACGAGGACCTGATCAACAAGATTGAGGTGAGGGGCTCCTTCCCGGGCCGGGGACCGCGCCCGCACCCCCGGGCTGCTGGGCCAGCACGCTGAGGCCGGAGCCGGTGGACACCTGGCCGCGGCGCCCCACGGCAGGTAAAATAGCGAAGCGTCTTTGCCCCCCGCCCCCCAGACCACCGTTCCCCCTTCCACGATCAACGTGAACCGCTTCACAGAGGACTCGCTGCTCCGGCACGCGCAGTTCGTGGTGAGCCAGGTGGAGAGCTACGACGACGCCAAGGACAGCGACGAGCAGCCCATCTTCCTGTCGCCCTGCATGCGGGACCTCATCAAGCTGGCAGGGGTCACCCTGGGGCAGAGGTGGGGACGCGGGCTGTGGTGGGCAGGGCGGGCAGGACCGGGCAGGACCGCGCGGGGTCCTCCTCCCGCCGGGCTCCCAGCAGCGGCCCTCTCCCCCAGGAGAGCCGAGAGGCGTCAGACGGTGAGGCTCAGAAACTCCAACAAGGACAAGGACAAAGGGCCCACCAAGGCCACCACCACCAAGCTGGTCTACGAGATCTTCGACACCTTCTTCTCAGAGCAGATCGAGAAGGACGAGAAGGAGGACAAGGAGAACGCCTTCAAGCGGCGGCGCTGTGGCGTGTGTGAGGTAACCTGGCAGCAGCCTGGTCGCCCTCTGGTCCTCAGGCCCTGGCCAGGGGCACGGCCCTCTGCTCCGGGGCCTTCCCGGACCTCAGTCCACAGTTTCTGTCTGTAGGCACCGTTCCTGACTTCAGCCAACCTCAGATGAAGACTGACAAAATACCACACTTAGCTGGGCACGGCGAGGCTTGGCTGTAACCCAGCCCTGGGGAGGCTGAGGCAGGGGAGGGTCGCCGAGGTCAAGGCCAGCCTGGGTTGCATAACAAGACCTTGTCTCAGAAAACAATCGCAAGGCCAGAGTGGTGGTGCCTGTCCAAATCCCAGCCCCTGGGAGGCTGAGGCAGGACAGCTGAGAGCTTGATGCTGGCCTGAACTACGTTAGGGAGATTGTGTCTGAAAAGAAAACGAACCCCGAAACAAAGTGTGCGTATCTGTTCCATCTGTACTGGATGCATCCTGCGTACAGAGCCTGAGCACCCACGGATCCTGGGTCTCAGGGGTCTCAGGGGTCTCAGGGGACGTGGCACCTGAGCTGTGGCTGTGTCTTCAGGGGCTGCTCTTAGCAGGGACACAAGTCCCCACCATTCTGGTTTGGACTTTATTTACTCCTCAAGGCCAGTGTTCATAACTTGCGTAACCTGCCCCCGTCGGTCATCTACTGTCTGATCTGTTCGCATGCTGGGAATTGAGCCCAGGACACTGCCACTTGGCAGCATCCTTGTTCACCAAGTGGCCAGCTGGGAATCCTGCCTTGGCCTCCCGTCTCAGGGTTTTAGGGTTGCACCACCAGGCCTTGCTTCGGAGGTGTTCAAAAAACACAACCGCAGCTTCGGGGTGCCATTACGGGCAGAACCTGCCAACCTGTCCTGGCTGCCCTGTGTACCAGGGTTGGTTCCAGACTGTCCCCACGCGGGCACCGAATCTGGCTTCTCAGACTTTTTGTGTACCATGCCCACCCGTGGGCCTCTCAAGCCTGGTGTGATGTTCCATACCGCCTGAAAGACGCTCTCGGGTGACTGTGTGACATAGGAGCACAGGCGCTGTGCAGACCGCTGCTGGGCTGAGTCGTATGGGAACTGATGAGAGACATCTGTGGTGCTGGGGGCTTAACTGAGTCCCCCAGAGTGCTAGGGCCGAGCTATGTTCCCCAGCCCGGTTTTGTTTGTAACTCTTGAGACATGGTCTTGCTGAGTTGCCCAAGCTGCCCTCTAACTGGGTTCTCCTGCCTCAGCCTCCTGGGGGCTGGGTTGTGAGGTGAGGCTGTTGGATCTAAGTGCAGGAGGCACAGATTTTATCCTAGTACCTGCTGGGTCCTCAGCAAGGGAGCCTGGGGCGTGGGTGGCCTTGGATCTGCAGGCCACTCTCCAAGGTGCCACAGCTACTTGTTTGTAGACCAGGATCTCTGCGCAGTTCAGGCGGGCCTTGAGCTCCCGATGTGCACCAGGCTGGCCTTGAGCCCACGGTGACCCTCGGCCTCAGTCTCCCAAGTGCTGGAATCACAGGCATGCACCACTGCACCCGGCTCGGATGTGCATATTCTGAAGATCTTAGCCTACTTGCCTGGATGGTAGCACATGCTATAATTCCAGCTCTTGGGGAGACTGAGGCAGGAGAATCGTGAGTCCGAGGCCAGCCTGGACCACTTAGAACCTGAGAAATAAACTAGGCCAGGGACGTAGCTCGGCATGAGGCCTTGGGTTCCTCCTCTCATCAAACAAAAGGAATGGGCAGAGCTGGCCGGGCCCGGGCAGCTGCGTCACCTCCTCCCCTCCCCAGGTCTGCCAGCGGCCTGAGTGCGGCAAGTGCAAGGCCTGCAAGGACATGGTGAAGTTCGGGGGCAGCGGCCGCAGCAAGCAGGCCTGCCTGAAGCGCAGGTGGGGGACGGCTGCGGGGCGGGGCCTGCACCTGCGTCCAGTGCACAAGTGCCGGAGCCCTGGCTGCTAACACGTGGCTCTGCAGGTGTCCCAACATGGCCATGAAGGAGGCGGAGGACGACGAGGAGGTGGATGACGACATCCCGGAGATGCCATCGCCCAAGAAAATGCATCAGGGCAAGAAGATGAAGCAGAACAAGAACCGGATCTCTTGGGTTGGGGATGCCATCAAGGTAACCCTCAGGGCAGGTCCCAGGGGTGGCGCCCGGGTACTCTTGTGCATACCAGGCAAGTGCTCTACACACGAGCCACACCCCAGACCTTTTATATTCATTTCGAGGCAGGGTCTTGCTAAGATGCCCAGACTGACCTCCAACTTGTGACCCTCCTGCCTCAGCCTCCCAGAGTGCTGGGATGACAGCTGGGCACCTCCCGTGCCCAGCTCTTGACGTCTTAATGAAGCGATGACAGTTCTCTGTATTTGTGGTGTTGTGCCCAGAGTTGTGTCTGGGCCTCGTGTGTTCTAAATAAGCTCGAGCTCTCCCACTGAGCGGCTGCCCGTCCCCAGGGTGAGACCCTGGGGAGGGCTCGGGACCTCACCAGGACCCGGCCTCTTGTTTGCAGACTGACGGGAAGAAGACTTACTACCAGCAGGTGTGCATAGACGCCGACACCCTGGAGGTGGGCGACTGCGTGTCCGTCATCCCGGACGACCCCACGAAGCCGCTCTACCTGGCCAGGTGCGGGGCCCTCCCCCCGCTGCTGCCTGGGCGTGGGCGCCCTGTGTCTCGGGCGAGGTGGCCGTGGCTGCAGGGCTCGCGGCTCAGCTGCCCCGTCCTGCCCCGTCCCGGCTGCAGGGTGACGGCGCTGTGGGAGGGCAGCAACGGGCAGATGTTCCACGCGCACTGGTTCTGCGCCGGCACCGACACGGTGCTCGGGGCCACCTCGGACCCCCTGGAGCTGTTCCTGGTGGATGAGTGTGAGGACATGCAGCTGTCCTACATCCACAGCAAGGTCAAGGTCCTCCACAAGGAGCCGTCGGAGAACTGGGCCATGGAGGTGCGCGCCCGCCCGCCCGCCCGCCCCACGTGCCCGCCAAGCCCCCGCCACGCGGCTCCCGTGACGCGGGTCCACATCCCCACAGGGGGGCATGGACCCCGAGGCCGTGCTGCCCGCCGTGCCCAACGACGGCAAGACCTACTTCTACCAGCTGTGGTACGACCAGGACTACGCGCGGTTCGAGTCCCCTCCCAGGATGGAGCCGACCGAGGACAACAAGTACAAGTGAGTGGGGCGTCTCGGTCCCGTCCTGGGGTCCCCGTGTGTGGCCTCTGGGCTCAGGAGTCGGCCCTCCTGCGAGCAGGGTGGGTACCTCTGTCTGTCCCCCTGTCCTTCTGTCCCTCATGCCACATGCTCTCGTTTCTTTTGTGACTCGGGGATTTTCACCTGTTAGCGTCAGGTTTCACCCCGACTGGCCGGAGGGTGCTCGCCCCGGGGAGTCCTCCCCAGCATGTGGTGCCCCCTGCACCTTCCACCCTCCCCCTCCCCCTGGGCAAAGCCGCCGTGGCTGCCGTCCCTGGGCTGCTTGGCTGGCAGTGCAGTTGCCCCCCTGAAGGCCAGCCCGAGCTCGGGACAGCTGAGGTCAAGGGTCATTGCAGTCAGGTGTGGGGGGGGCACACATGGGACCCCGGCACTTGGGAAGCTGAGGCAGGAGGATCACCAGGATTAGGAGCAGCCTGGTCTACGTGGTGGGACCCTGTCTCAGCCAGAAAGAATACTGCATAGAACATGCTGGGCATTGTGAGCCGCCTGGTGCGGAGCAGGAGCCCACCTGCGAGGCCAGGTCGGGGTCGGGGTTCAGTGCTGCGCATCCCGTGCAGCTATCCGAGTCACTAGCACTGCAGCCGCAGAGCTCAGAGGTCAGGTGCCGAGAGCCTCGGTCCCCTGCTGCCTCCTGGAGTCATCACAGGAGGACTCGGGTTGAGACAGCCGCCCAGCAGGAGGACAGGCAGGGCTGTGCGGAGTGCCGGGCCAGTGCCCATCTTGGCACCTCGAGTTGGGACGCCCTGAGACAGTGGCGCGGGTGGCAGGTGGAAGCCAGGGACGGCTCGCCTGTCCTTGGAGCCTCTGATCAGCTGGTGCAGGCTTGTTCTGCTTTGCTGTTTGGTGCTGCTGCCGCCGCGGGCTGGGGGCTTGCTGTGCGGGTGGGCTGGGGCTGGACGGGGGGCTCCCGGCGGGGCTCGTCCAGTCCCCTGACCTGGAGGCAGGGATTTGCTGTGCAGTTCAGGCTGGCCAGCCTAGGGTGACCTCGAACTCCCAGCAGCCTCCTTGTCCTCGATCCGTTTGTAAGGCCCGCTCCAACTTCTCCAGGCCCTTTAATCAAGGATGAGGCTGGGGATTTAGCTCAGCAGCACAAGCACCTGCCTGACAAGTTCGAGGTTATGAGTTTGATCCCCGGTGGCCCCCCCTACCCCCAAATCAAGCATGCTGTTGGGCCTGCTGTGGGGCACACGCCCGTCATCCCAGCACTCTTGGAAGCTGAGGCAGGAGGATCGCAAGCTCGGGCCCAGCCCGGGGAACCTAGCGAGTCTGACTCAGTGCCAAAGCACTGGGCCCCATCGCCTCTGCTGCCCCCCCGGAGCCCTGAGAACAAAGCTGACGGGTCCACATCCCTTTCCCGCCTTCGGAGGGGGCAGGTGGAGCCACTCGCAGCCCCGCTGGCCTCCAGGTGCTTGGCCAGTCTTTCCCGTGCTGCCTGTGGTCCTGTCACCGGCCCGTGTTCTCTTGGCTCCTGGTCCCGAGCGTGTTCCTTCAGAGCGGCAACACGTGAATACGAGGCGGCCGGCTCCTTGGACACCCGTGACTGCTGCCCTTGAGGCCCCCGAGCCCCTGCCCAGGCGTCTCTGCTTCCTTCTCAGGTTCTGCGCCAGCTGCGTGCACCTGGCGGAGATGCGGCAGAAGGAGATCCCCCGCGTGCTGGAGCAGCTGGACGACCTGGACGGCCGGGTCCTCTACAGCTCGGCCACCAAGGGTGGCGTCCTCTACCGCGTGGGTGACGGCGTGTACCTGCCCCCTGAGGCCTTTACCTTCAAGTGAGTGCTTCTGGGGGCCACAGAACCTCTGGACCACAGACGGCGGATGTGGCAAGCGGCAGCGGGCTCGATCCTCACCGCACCCTGTGGAGGGGAACACTGGGGGAGGTCAAGGTAGCCCCTTCAAGAGCAGGCAGAGGCCTTGGGCTCCGGGGGCTGTTCCAGGACGGCGAGCACCGCTTGGGGGTGCTCTGGACTGCACGTCCACTTCCCTAGGCCTCTTCCTGCATTGTCCTTGGATCCATGCTATCACGCCATGGTGACCGCCTCACAATGAGTGATGTAAAACACAGCCGGGCGTAGTGGTACATGCCTGTAATACCAGCACCCAGGAGGCTGAGGCAGGAGGATCGGTGAGAGTTTGAGACCAGCCTGAACTGCATAGCGAGACAGTGTCAAAACACACACGCACACGCACACGCACACACACGCAGTGTCAGTCTGTCTGCGGGGACACACGCAGGACAGGGTCCTCATAGCAGAGCGTTCAGGTCGCCCGTGCTCAGTGGCCAGACTTAGTCACACAGCAGAATTGCGTGCTGCTGTGTGGCCTGGAGGCACAGTGGGCTGGGAGTATCTTCTTTGATCCCGGGGCTTTTGCAGTGAGCTGCATCCCCGGGTCCTGTTTATTTCTGAGACAGGGTCTCCCTGAGTAACTTCCTGGGCTGGGCTTGAACCTGCAGCCCTCCTGCCTCAGCCTCCTGCAGTGCTGGCCGACAGGCTCCTGCTCCCGCACCCAGCTCGCGCTGACCTGTCGCCTCCGTTGGTGGGGCCAGGTCACTGGGGTCAGTCACACTGCTGACCGCAGGCAGGCCTGACGTTGGCCACGCCTGCTGGTCCTTCTCCGCAGCATCAAGCTCTCCAGCCCCGTGAAGCGCCCGAGGAAGGAGCCGGTGGACGAGGAGCTGTACCCTGAGCACTACCGAAAGTACTCTGACTACATCAAGGGCAGCAACTTGGACGCCCCCGAGCCCTACCGGATCGGCCGGATAAAGGAGATCTTCTGCCCCAAGAAGAGCAACGGCAAGCCCAATGAGGCGGAGATCAAGATCAAGCTGAACAAGTTCTACAGGTTGGGAGCCGGGCGGGCGGGCGGGCGGGCTCTCTCAGTGCCCAAGGCCGAGGCTCCCGGGTGCCGGCGTGGCTCCGGGCTCCGGCTCTGAGGTCTGCGTTCTCCGGCTGCAGGGCCCGGCTGGGGCGCAGGGCCCGGCTGGGGTGCGGGGTGAGAGGAGCCGCAGAGCCCATGCCCCGGAGGACGTCCTTGGTGGCCGTGCAGGCTGCGGCCTGTGGGATGCTAGGCCGCTTTTTTTTCCTTTGTGGTTGGTGTCAGGGCAGGGCTGACTGTGTAGCTCAGACTGGCCATGAGCTCAGTGTTTCCCAGGCTGGCCTCGAGCTTACGGTGATGCTCCTGCCTCAGCCTCCTGCGTGCTGGGATGACAGGTGTGCGTCCCTGCCCTGAGCCAGGGCCTGTTTTCGATGCTGGTGCTGCCTTCTCCTCCCCAGTCCCTTCTGGGCCTTGTCCTGTGGGATCTGTCCCCCTGCCTCATCTGTTTCTTTTTTGTGTGTACTGGGGATTGAACTCACAACCTCACATTTGCCAAGCAGGCACTTAAGCTGCTGAGCTAAACCCCCTGCGCAGCCCTCCCGCCTCAGCCCTGAGCTGTGGACTGTGAGGGCACTCTCACCCCGCGTGGTCGTCTGTTGGTGGGAAGGGAAGTGGACGGGACAGAAATGGCTCATGGGGCGGGCGTGGCGAGCAGAGCCTCGGAGGGCAGCTGCGGGGGCTCGGCCCTGTCCTGTCTGTGGCGGTGGGCCGGAGACCTGCTGTGTATAAACCCCGGGACCAGGCTCTGAGGCCTGCTGGTCCCCCGGCCCTGGGGAAGGGACATGAGCCGTTCACGGCGCCCTCGTGGCCCTCCCGCAGGCCCGAGAACACCCACAAGTCCGCCCTCGCGAGCCACCACGCCGACATCAACCTGCTGTACTGGAGCGACGAGGAGGCCGTGGTGGAGTTCCGGGCCGTGCAGGGCCGCTGCACCGTGGAGTACGGGGAGGACCTGGCCGAGTGCCTGCAGGACTACTGCGCGGGCGGCCCCGACCGCTTCTACTTCCTCGAGGTGGGCGGCGGCTGCCTTTGAGATTGTAACCCTCCTGCCTCAGCCTCCCAGCGTGCCAAGGCTGTAGGCCATGCCCTACTAACACCGAGTTGAAGGAAAAAACATTAGGCTCAGGTCTCTGCCGCACAGGTGCCTGCCTGGTGAGCCCGGGGTTGAGTTCAATCCCTGATAGTGGAAAAAAAAGGCAGGGAAGCATCACAGCGTGGTCTGGATGTCGCTCAGTCTAAAGACTCTAAGGTGGCCTCCACCAGCTCAGCCAGTATCCTGTGAGTGGCCAGGTGTCCTCCCCACACGGGCTCAGCCCCGTCCCTCGCGTCACCAGACACCTGCATTGCGTCCAGGCCGGGTCCACTGGGCTGTGCAGGACCCCGGCAGCGGGGAGGGGGCTCAGAGCCGGAAATGCTTGAGTTCGGCCCCTCTGCACAGCGCTCAGGGCCGTGCCTTTCCCAGCCCATGAGCCTGGTAGGGAGACGGTGGACCTCAGCACACTGCTCCCGGGAACCTCCTGTTCAGGGCATGCTTCTCTCCTCTTTCAGGCCTACAACGCAAAGAGCAAAACCTTCGAGGACCCTCCGAACCATGCCCGCAGCCCACGGAACAAGGGCAAAGGGAAGGGCAAAGGTTCGTCCTGTGCTGGGCTGGGAGCCAGGACGGGGGATGGCAGCGGTGCAGGGCCAGCGCCCCTGCTCACCCCGGTCCTGTCTGGCCCGTCCAGGGAAAAGCAAGGCGAAATCTCAGGTGTCGGAGCCCAGCGAACCGGAGCTGGCCATCAAGCTGCCCAAGCTGCGCACTCTGGATGTGTTCTCGGGCTGCGGGGGGCTGTCAGAGGGCTTCCACCAGGCAGGTAAGGCTGCACTGCGCCAGCCCTCACGTCCCCTATCCCATCCCATCCCTTTTTGGGGAGACAAGCACCCTGTCGCCCCTCTGTCCCCAGGCATCTGTGAGACGCTGTGGGCCATCGAGATGTGGGAGCCTGCTGCCCAGGCCTTCCGGCTGAACAACCCTGGCTCCACCGTGTTCACTGAGGACTGCAACGTCCTGCTCAAGCTGGTCATGGGTGGCAAGGTGGTCAACGAGTTGCAACAGCGGCTGCCCCAGAAGGGCGACGTGGAGATGCTGTGCGGTGGGCCGCCCTGCCAGGGCTTCAGCGGCATGAACCGCTTCAACTCACGCACCTACTCCAAGTTCAAGAACTCCCTGGTGGTGTCTTTCCTCAGGTACGGCCTGGCCACCGCCCGGGGAAGGGAGAGGAGAGGACACCGGGCGGTGGTGTCCCCGCCGTGCCCTCCCGGGGTGCCCTTCCGCCCCGGGGTGACCCTGCCCGCCCGCCGTCCCTCCCCAGCTACTGTGACTACTACCGGCCGCGCTTCTTCCTGCTGGAGAACGTGCGCAACTTCGTGTCCTTCAAGCGCTCCATGGTGCTGAAGCTGACGCTGCGCTGCCTGGTCCGCATGGGCTACCAGTGCACCTTCGGGGTGCTGCAGGTGGGCTGCTCCCCGGATCGGATCCCAGGGGCACCCCGCACTCGGGGAGGCCGAGCCGCGAGAGGCACGGGTTCGAGTGCAGGCCGGTGCCCAGCGAGGCCCCCGCGGCCTGGGGAGGCCAGGGTCTGGGCCTCAAGCTCACCTGTGTCCCCAGTCTCTCCCCAGTGTGAGGGTGGCGGGCGCGCGGCAGCCGTGGCAGCACGTCTGTCCACACGGGAGGACGGGCAGCCTCGGCCTTCGAGCCTGGCCAGCCGAGCGCTGGCCGCCCTGCTGCCGCCCCAGGCGCCGGCGGAGTCCGGCTCGAGTCACCCACTGAGGCTGAGTGTGCCCGCAGGCTGGGCAGTACGGTGTGGCACAGACGCGGCGTCGGGCCATCATCCTGGCGGCAGCGCCCGGGGAGAAGCTGCCCCTGTTCCCGGAGCCCCTGCACGTGTTCGCGCCCCGAGCCTGCCAGCTGAGCGTCGTGGTGGACGACAAGAAGTTCGTCAGCAACATCACACGGTGAGGCCGGCCGGACCCTGGCGCAGGGCGGGGAGGCGTGCCGCGGGGCGCCCGGCCCGGCTCATGGCAGCTCTGCTCCCCAGGCTGGGCTCCGCTCCCTTCCGCACCATCACGGTGCGGGACACCATGTCCGACCTGCCCGAGATCCGGAACGGGGCCTCCGCCCCCGAGATCGCCTACAACGGGGAGCCCCAGTCCTGGTTCCAGAGGCAGCTGCGGGGCTCGCACTACCAGCCCACCGTCAGGGACCACATCTGCAAGGTAGGCGCACGCGTGCTGCCGGGGGCCTGCCCTCCGCCCCGGGGCCAGCCCCGCTCCTGGTCGCTGCGACCTCCCTCCCGCCCCTCCAGGACATGAGCCCGCTGGTGGCCGCCCGCATGCGGCACATCCCGCTGGCCCCCGGCTCAGACTGGCGTGACCTGCCCAACATCGAGGTGCCGCTCTCGGATGGCACCGTGGCCAAGAAGCTGCGCTACAGCTACCAGGACAAGAAGAACGGCTGCAGCAGCTCGGGCGCCCTGCGCGGCGTGTGCTCCTGTGCAGAGGGTGTGTGGGAGCCCCGTCCCTGCCCTGTCCCCTGTCCCTGCCCTGTCCCCTGTCCCTGCCCCTGTCCCGTGTCCTCCCTGGTGGCAGCCAGCAGCCGCCAGCCATGCCTCACCGCCCTCTTGCAGGGGCCGGCAAAGCCTGCGACACCATGGCCCGGCAGTTCAACACCCTCATACCCTGGTGCCTGCCGCACACCGGCAACCGCCACAACCACTGGGCCGGCCTGTACGGGCGCCTGGAGTGGGACGGCTTCTTCAGCACCACCGTCACCAACCCCGAGCCCATGGGCAAGCAGGTGGGTGCGGCCGGCCGCAACCCGCGCCCCTCTGCCCCGCCCCCGGGCCCTGACCCCTGCTGTCCCCGCAGGGCCGCGTGCTGCACCCCGAGCAGCACCGCGTGGTGAGCGTGCGGGAGTGCGCCCGCTCGCAGGGCTTCCCAGACACCTACCGGCTCTTCGGCAACATCCTGGACCGGCACCGGCAGGTCAGTCCTGTCCCGGGAGGGCTGGGGAGGAGCCGCCCGAGGCTTCCCGGGCGCCTCTGCCACTAGGGTGCTGGACGAGGGTGGCCTGTCCTGAGCCTGCCTGGCCACGGCTCCCTCCCTGTCTCCTGCAGGTGGGAAACGCCGTGCCACCTCCACTGGCCAAGGCCATCGGCCTGGAGATCAAGCTGTGCATGCTGGCCAAAGCTCGGGAGGGTGTCCCAGGTACGGCCCTCGTGGGGCGCATCCTGGCCCGCCCGGCCCCCACACTGCCGCTCCCCACCCGCGGCCCAGGTGACTGCCCTCGTTCCCTTCCAGAGAAACTAAAGCAGGAGGCGATGGTCATCAAGGAGCCCTAGGCCACGTCTGTCCCCTCACTGCCACCAGGAGGCCTCCCAGGCACTGCTGCGTCCCGTGTACTGCGATAGGCGTCGGTTCCGGTGTCGTGCGAGGCGTCTGTGGCCTTGGCTGGCGTGACGCTGTCCACGGGATCTGCTTACTGACTAATGACTTAGTGATCAGACTGTGCCGTTCTCTGTGCATCCTGGGTTTTAAAGTTTTTATTATGCATTATATTAAATCCTCCACTGCCCGGTGGAAATTTATGTAGTTTTTATATGTTGTAATATTTCTTCAAATAAATCTCTCCTATAAAGAAAGCACTCTGGGTCGAGACTGATTCATCTGGGGCTTCCAGCTCCCTCAGCCAAGGTCAGGCAGGAAAAAGCTCTTCTACATGGAGGATGCCCACAAGGTGCCTGTTGCAGGCCTGGCCCCACCATGTGTCTGAATGTGCTACAGGATGGCGGTGAACTCATGTGGCTCAGGTATGGCCCCTGAGCTGCCACTAGAACGAGTGGCCTCCAAGACTGACTGTGGCTGGCATTCTCATGGCCTGCTTGCCCTTCTTTGGAGTGGAATGCGATGCCTGGTGATGTAGCAGCCATCTTGTGACCATGAGGTCATAGACCTTGTGTCAGTGGGAGTGTGGAGCCAGGAGGGGGGGGTCACCTCTGAACCGTCCTTCAAGCCTTGGATTCCCAGTGTCCACACAAGAAAACCCTGTGTGAGACTCAGCGGGGCTTTTGCACTTCAGCCTGACTTCATTCTGCTGAATTTTAAGACAAGCAACAACTCGATACAGATGCCAACAAAAGAGCTGCTCAGTGGTGTGAAGATGCAGGCCACCAGGACTCTCCTTGGTGGCCGATTGGTGGCACTTCAGCTGTAAGGGCACTCGGTGGGTCACAGGCCAAAGGGCCAGGTGTACAAGGCCGGTCCCTGAAGTGCCGGGGCTGTGCTGGACAGTGCACTCGGGAGGCTGAGGCAGGAGGATGGAGAGTTGGAGCCCAGCCTGGGGTTCTTAGAGACCCACCTGGACCAGCAGGAGCCCGGGCCTGAGAGATGGGGCCGGGCCGGGCTCAGCGCAGCTCAGTGCGAAAGCCCTCTTTAGGGTCCGTGCGTGTGCATCCGGGCTGCAGGGGGGTCACTTAGTGACAGCTCCTGCCAGCAGCCATCGCGATGCAGAGGCTGAATGGGAAAACAGGCTCACGGAAATGTATCTCGGTTTGTTTTCGTTTGTCTTTGAGCCGGGGTCTCCCTTTGTGGTTCAGGCTGGCCTGGAGCTCACTGGGTAGCTTAGGCCAGTCTCAAACTCATGATTCTCCTGCCTCAGCCTCTCAAGTGCTGGGATGGCGGGTGTGCGCCAACATATCTGGCTGGTTTCTAGCTCTTAAGACCATTTTTAATAAGCTAAAAAAACAACCCGTGTGCCATGATGCAGACCTACATTCCCAGCCACTCGAGACTGAGGCAGGAGGATTACAAGTTCATCCCACTGAGGTAATTTAATGAGACCTCATCTCAAAAAGGCTGAGGCTGGGGCCCGGGGGTGTAACTGGACGGCACCGCACCTTCCCAGCAAGCACGAGGTCTCGAGGTCAATTCTGAGTACAGAAATAAAGTTTGAGGCCTCTTATTTTCCTGAGACTGGATCTCTGGGTTGCACCTTCCTGCCTCTCAGGCTCCTGATGACTGGATTCAAGGGCCTGCACCAGCACATGTGGCTCAGGTCCCAGGTTCAGGGCCCTCTGAGCTGTCCCTGAGTCGGGCCGAATCACACCATTGTGGGCATGGAGCTCACTGTTAGCTGTTGTCACTGACTGTGAACCCTGCCGACGAGAAGCTGTGTGGAAAAACCTGTCAAGCATGCACATCCCAGCTCTGGGGGGCTGAGGCAGGAGGGTCAAGTTTGAGGCCCACCTTGGGCAACTCCTTGATTCAGCACAGAAGAGGGCTGAGGATGTAGGTTGGTGCAAATGCCCTGACTTCAACCTCCAAGGAAGGAAAAAAATCTGTCCATATCCTAGTTTCACTTCCTGTGGGTACAAACCAGAAATGAAATTTCTGCTGTTTTTTCTTTGTCTTTGTGAGACAGGGTCTCTATACAGTTCAGGCTGGCCTTGAACTCACTTTGTATGTAGCCCGGGCTGGTCTCAAACTCACAATGATCCTCCTGCCTCAGCCTCTTGAGTATTGGGATCACAATCCTGTGCCACCATGGCTGGCTAGAAGACACTTCTTAAAGCCTAAAATTTTCATATGAAGTTTGTCATAAAGTACAAATACATACAGCCAGTTATAAACAGGTCCCTCAGTCACAAAAAAAGAAAAAGAAAAGAAAGATTATTACACTTAGGGAACAAGTAGTTTAGTGGGGCTATCAAAAATTTCAGCTTTCCAGCCGGGCGTTGTAGTGGCTCATGCCCATAATCCCAGCGCTCGAGAGGCTGAGGCAGGATCATTTCGAGTTCCAGACCAGCCTGGGCTACAAAGTGAGCTCAAGACCAGCCTGAACTGCATAGCGAGACCCCGTCTCAAAAAGACGAAACAAACAAAACAAAAAAAATTTAAAATTGCAGCTTTAAGTCAGGTGTGAGGCGCACACCTGTGATCCCAGCACTGGGGAGGCTGAGGCCGGAGATCACAAGTCCATATCCAGCCAATGCAACTGTGCAATTCACGGAAACCGTCTCAAATATTTCATAGCAAGGGCTGGAATGGAAGTCGCCCCGAAGGCCCCGCGTTCTGTCCCAGTACGGGGAGGTGGTGAGGGGCTGTGATTGACGGGCTCTGGGACTTGGGTGGGCGGGGCAGCAGTTCACGCATGCGTAATCGGTCTTCCTGGGTCTTCCTGGCACGCATGCGCAGGAGCGTGGGGTTATCCCAAGGTCATCACGGGCAAGTTCAGGTGTGATGGCAAGGTGAGATGGCTCGGACGCGAGGCGTCTGCGGTCCCCGACAAGTAACCTAGGCAACCGGTGATTAAAACAGACAAGTCAGACCTCTTAGGCACGGCAAAGCCGGCGGGACTGTTGGATTGTTCAGCTGTGAGACCCACGCCATTAAGTGTTCTGGTTTGTTAATTTAAAAAAAATTTGGTTTTCCGAATGAAACGTTGGTCTCCGTAAGTAGCTCAGCCTGGCCTCCAGCTGCTGAGGATCCTCCTGCCTCAGCCTCCACAAGCTGGGATGGCCGGTGTGCGCCACCCCAGCTGGTGAGTAGTTTTTCAAGTTAACTAACAGGGAGTGAACCTAAACAGTTTATTCATGCTTTCTCTCAAGACTAAAAAAAATACTGGGTGGCTGGGGATTTAGCTCAGCAGCATAAGCACCTGACTGGCAAGCGTGAAGTCATGGGTTCGACCCCTGGTACCAAAAAAAGACACACAGCCATGAATCCCCCTCAAAATCCTCCTTCTTGAGCCAGGGGTAGTGGCGCACACCTGTGAGCCCACTCCCTCAGGAGGCTGAGGCAGGAAGATCTCCATGAGTTTGAGGCCAGCCTGCACTAGATAGTGAGAACCTTTACACAAAAGAACAAAACTAAAACTAATAAAAAACTTTCCTCTTGCTGGGAACACCTGCCCCATCATTTTGCAGCTTTCCGGGGCAGCTCTGCAAGCCCCCTTTGATGAGTTTTCACAAGGTGTGATAAGGAATACAGTGCCGGTTGCTGCCCAGCGCCATCGGACAGAAAGGCAGCTCAGACAAACCCACCTTCCTGCTTCTCCAGCCCCGGCGCCGTCAGGGCCCCGTTTGGGGTTGACCCAGGACGTCGAGGCGGCCAGGACCGCACAAGCAAAGGCGCTCAAGAAGGAGGCTTCTTCCAAACTGCTTCAGAAAGTGGCAGGGACACGACGTCTGAGTGCGAAATGCGGGGAGGATTTGGAGAGAACTTGTCCTACTCTGCGTTTTTTAAACGGGGAGTTGAACTCAGGACCCTGCACTCACTTGCCAGGCAGGCAGCTACCCGCTGAGCTAAGGCTGTGGCCATTTCTCTTTCTTCTTTTTGAGTCAGAGTCTAGCTGCTCAGACTGCCATCCGAGCTCATGGCCACCCTCCTGCCTCAGCCTCTGGTGCTGGAATCACGGGTCGGTGCCAGCACCCGCGACACGGTTTTTCTTTGAGTCACTTCTCAGTCTCCTTCTTGTTCTGTTTTATTCCCTAACCCCTCCTCCCCGCCCTCTACTGGCTTCCAGAATAATTTTTCTTAGAAGAAAGGTAGGGTCACGCCAGGACCTTACATCCCTACAGCCTCGAGAATAAAGAGAATGCCTATCTGACCCAGCTATTACCCTTCTGGGTATTTCCCCAGAAGAAATACAGACATCTTAGCGCACCCATGTTTATAGCAGCACAGTTTGTAATAGGCAGATCTTGGAAACAACCTAAGTGTCCATCGACTGAGGAATGGATAAAAAATAAATAAATAATAAAATATACCCTGGTTTCCAAAGACAATAAATTAAATAAAGTAAAAAGATGTGGGGCTGGGGATTTAGCTCAGTTGCATAAGCGCCTGCCTGGCAAGCGCAAGGTTGTGAGTTCGATCCTGGTACCAAAAAACAAAAAGTGGGATACTTTTATACAATGAAATACTACTCAGCCATAAAGAAAGATAAACATGAGAGTTTTCTAGGTAAATGGATGCAACTAGAGACCACACTCATAAGTGAAATAAATCAGACTCTCATATGTAAACATTGTATTGTCTCCCCAGTCTGAGCAGCTGAAAGACATATTATACATAAAAGATAATTACACTGTTAATTTCTCTTAGTTCACTGAAAAGAAGGGTTTGTGCTAATATTGTTTGGACAATTAAATGCAGATGTTTTATATGCTGAATAACTAAAGATAACAATATGCAATGCATTAACCATTGTTACTCTCCTATTGTTTCAAAATTTGATTTTTTTCCTTTGGGGAAAAAAAAATAAGCTGCGTGGTGGTGCACTCCTGTAATCCCAGCATCCAGGAAACTGAGGCAAAAGGATCCTTGCAAACTTTGAGCCCAGCCTGGGCTGCAAAGTGAGCTCAAGGTCAGCCTGACCTGCATAGCGAGACCCTGTCTCAAAGAGACAGAAACAAACAGGCAAACAAGCAAAAATGAATAAAGAGAATGAGCAGGTGTGGGTGCATGCATCAGGGAGGCTGAGGCAGGAGGCTCACCACAAATTCCAGGCTAGCCTGGGCTAGTGAGTCGGGCTGGGCGAGACCAGCCTAATCTACACGGCGAGAAAGCTTGCCTTTTATTTTTATTCTTATTTTTAGCGAGATCTTGTCTTAAAACACCAAAAAAAGGGGCCAGGGATAAGCGCCTGCCTGGCAAGCGCGACGTGGTGAGTTTGATCCCCCTTACCAAAAAAATAAAGAAAGCAACAAAAAACCCAGCAAAACACCCCAACTATAATTAGCATTATTATTTTATATTGTTATTATTGTTGTTGTTACTACAATATAACAGAGGGCCGGGAATACACCTCATAGGCACGGTGCCTGCCTGGCAGGCTCGAGGGCGTGAGTTCGAGCTCCAGGACAAAAAAAATGTAACAATAACTCAGAATCGCTGACCTGTAACCACCGACCTGTCACAGCGGCCCGTGGCGCGCTCACCCGGCGTTCCCACCGCCTTCCGCAGGGGGCGCTGCGGCGCCGCGGCCCGTCACTCTAGCGCGGCGGGAGCACCGGAAGTCTCGTTCTCCTCTGCTTCCGCTCTCTGGCCCGGGCCGGGGTTGCGTGGAGCGAAGAAGAGTTAGCGATGCCGACTGGAGAGTTTGAGTGAGTCCGGGCTTCCCGAGGGGGACCCGCGAGCCGCCGTGGGGGGCCCGGAGAGCGCTCGGGGCCCGGGGTGAGCCGGGGCCGCGGGGCTGCGCCTCGCTGACCTGCCCTCTCTCCCCGCGAACTTGTTCCGCAGTTCGAAGCCCAGCTGGGCCGACCAGGTGGAAGAGGAGGGCGAGGACGGTGAGCGCTGCGTCCGGTCGCCCCGGACGAGTGGCCGAGGCTGCCCCCGCCCGGCAGTTGTGACCCCGCACCCCGTTCTGGCCACCTTGCCCGCGGCCACCCTTTGCCAACTTCGATGCCCCTGCCCGGGTCCTCGCCGCCGCCTGGGGAGGGAGCTGGGGCCGCCCGCCCGCCCGCCGTGCCCTCTCGGCCACCGCTCGAGGTCCCCCGCCGCCCCCGGCGCGATGCTGGTCCAGCTCCCGCGCGTTCCCCGCTCCCCGAAGGCCGTCCGAGTGCGGGGTCCCTTCCTTTCCCGCGCTGACTCTGCCTCCCCCGCCTCCTCCTGGCAGACAAATGTGTCACCAGCGAGCTCCTCAAGGGGATCCCGCTGGCCACTGGCGACGCCAGCCCAGAGCCCGAGCTCCTGCCTGGAGGTGAGTGCCAGTGTCCACTCGGTCCTGGCGCGCTGCCCCTTTTCGCCCTGAACCCACCTGGACCCCGTTCCCCAGGACTCAGCTGTCCGTGCCTTTCCCCACTCGCAGCACCACTGCCGCCTCCCAAGGAGGTGATCAGCGGGAACATAAAGACCGTGACCGAGTACAAGATAGACGAGGACGGCAAGAAATTCAAGGCGAGGCTGGGGCGGGGACGGGAGCCCAGGAGGGCTGCTGTGGGCGGCGACATTCCGACCCGGGTGGGCACTTGTGTGCCGCCCTGACCCGCTCCGCTCCTGCGCGCAGATTGTCCGGACCTTCAGGATTGAGACCCGGAAGGCCTCGAAGGCTGTTGCCAGGAGGAAGGTGAGGCCCTGGCTTCGGTTTGACCCAGGGCAGTTGAGGATCCCTGTATGAGACCTGTACTGACCCTGAAAAGCCCGGGAGCAGGAGTGGGTTGAGTAGATGATCACCCACATGCTTGTTGCTATTTTGTAGCACTGGGGATCCAACCCCGAGCTTTCACACTGAACTTGAACTCACGCCTCACTCTGGTTTTCCTTTCTTTTTTCAGTTTATTACCTGTGTGTAGTATATAACGTTTCTTTTGGGAAGTTGGGCCCAATCCAGTTTTTTGAGATAAGGTGTTGCTGAATTGTTCAGGCTAGGCCCAAAGGTAGGATTCTCCTGCCTCAGCCTCCCACAATGCTGGGATAACAGGCTGGCATTACCATGTGGTCCTCAGTTTATAGGAGGACGCTCAGCTCCTGAGGGTCCAGTGGCCATGCACATCCTGCATCTCGCTGCCTGCTGGCCCACTGGGTGTGGGAATCTTTGGCTGGACAGCTGCCCCTGTCTCCCAGGGGAGGCGTGAAACTGAGGCCTGCACCATGTGCTTAGGCCCTGTCATATGACAGTGTGTGGAGGTGGTGAAAGTGGGGGACATGTTTGGGTATGGAAGGGCACACCTGGAGCCCCTGCACTCTAGGAGGCTGAGGCAGGAGGATCACAGATTCTAACGCAAGCCTGGGCAACTTGTGATTTAGGAGAACTGTGTCTCAAAAAATAAAAATGACCAGGGACATAGCTCACTGTGAAGGGCCTGGGTTCAACTCCCAGTACTGTAAAAAAGGAAAAATAAAATGGGGTTCAAGGTCCAGATACTCGGGAGGCGGTTGTGCGCCTGGGGTACCCCACGGTGTGACCCCACTTCCCTTTGACTTATCCCCTCTCCTTCCCTGAGCCCAGAACTGGAAGAAGTTTGGGAACTCAGAGTTTGACCCACCAGGGCCCAATGTGGCCACCACCACGGTCAGCGATGACGTCTCCATGACCTTCATTACCAGCAAAGAGGTGAGTGGCAGTTTGGGGCCAGGCCCAGGGTGGTGGCAAGGGCTGCCTGCCCGCTCTGAGTGCCCCGTGCCTGCCTCCGCAGGACCTGAACTGCCAGGAGGAGGAGGACCCGATGAACAAGCTCAAGGGCCAGAAGATCGTGTCCTGCCGCATCTGCAAGGGTGACCACTGGACCACACGCTGCCCCTACAAGGACACGCTGGGGCCCATGCAGAAGGAGCTGGCCGAGCAGCTGGGCCTGTCCACTGGCGAGAAGGAGAAGCTGCCTGGAGGTGCAGGCTGGCGGGGCAGGGCTGTCCTGTGCTGTGTGTGTGTGTGACAGACAGTCACATGTATATGTGACAGTCCACTGTCCAGGTCCCCTGCTGAGATCTGCTGGTGGCCAGTCTGTCTGGGTAGCTCCCCTGCCCTGGCTTCCATGACAGTTGTCTTTGCCACCTAGAGATGGTCCCCGCCCCAGGTCGTACGCCTGCAGCCCCTAGGTGCTGAGCCTAGCACCTGTCGCTGTCGGTCTCCTGTCCCTGAGTGATGCCAGGCTGTGGGCACCCGTCCCTGTGGGTGCTTGCCCTTCCCTGCCAGTGGGGCTGGGAGGGTGTTGGCCTCCTGGGTGCCACCTTGGTGTTGTGGCAGCCACTGGGGCTCTGGAGCTGAGGGGTGGCTGCACAGGGATGGGGTGGTGGTGCTGGGGAGTAGGCCCTGTGGCTGGGGCACCCCTGACCGCGCCCCCGCTGCCCAGAGCTGGAGCCGGTGCAGGCGACGCAGAGCAAGACGGGGAAGTACGTGCCGCCCAGCCTGCGGGACGGAGCCAGCCGCCGGGGGGAGTCCATGCAGCCCAACCGCAGAGGTGAGGTCCCGCCGGTGGCAGGTGGGCGGGGACGCCGGGCAGCCTGTGATTACCCAGCGTGGCGTCTGTGGGGCCTGGGTGGGGCCTTCTGCCCACGGCTGCCTCGCCTGCTCCCCCCACCCAGCCGACGACAACGCCACCATCCGAGTCACGAACCTGTCCGAGGACACACGCGAGACCGACCTGCAGGAGCTCTTCCGGCCCTTCGGCTCCATCTCCCGCATCTACCTGGCCAAGGACAAGACCACTGGGCAGTCCAAGGTGTGTGGCCATGGCTGCGGGCTGGGCAGAGGTGCGAGCTCCACCCTGGCACCCCCACCTGACCCCTGTGCTGTCCCCAGGGCTTCGCGTTCATCAGCTTCCACCGCCGGGAGGATGCAGCCCGAGCCATCGCTGGAGTGTCCGGCTTTGGTTATGACCACCTCATCCTCAATGTGGAGTGGGCCAAGTAAGCCCCGCCCACCCGTCCCTCACCCTCTGTCCCCTGGGCTCGACGAGGGGCCCTCACCACTGACGGTCACTTGGCCTGTGTGAAGTGACGGCCTTTATTGTCCTTTCTGAGAAACTGCAGGGGCAGACGGGCTCCCCTGGCAGTGTGGCCCAGAGCATGGCAGGGCTGGGATCGGAGCCCCCAGTGTGACCCCGTGGGTCACTCTCCCCACACTGTCATCCGTGTCCCCACAGAGTTCCCCTCACGTGCAGGGAGGGGGTCTTGGGGTGCCCTTCAGGCCCCGGAGCCCCCCTCCTGACGCCCACCCCGCCCCTGTGCTCTCTCTAGGCCGTCAACCAACTGAGCCCGCCGCTGCCCCTGCCCCGGGTGACCCTGGCAGCTTCCACGCGCTGGGGGCTGCACGGGCAGTAAAAGGCTGAGAGCACCCATCGCATGTCCTGTTCTGTTCATTGTCCCCCAGGGAGGAGGTGGCCACGAGCCTGTCCCGTTCTGGGTGCTGGCGGCGGGCGGCTGGGTCACGGGTTCACATCTGGGGTGCTGGCCGCCTAGGCCGAGGCTTTGGAGGTGGAGTTGGCGCTGCTGGAGAGCGGCAGGTCCTGGTGGCTGCGGCGGCCGTCCCCGGGGCCCCGGCGCTCGGTGCAGCAGCTCAGGCTGGGCGCCACGGCCATGTAGAGCAGTGGGTGGATGCAGGTGGCCAGCGGCATCACGCCGCGCATGACCTGGTAGGCCAGGAAGGGGCCCAGCTCCAGCGCCCGCACGGCCTGCTCCTCGCTGGAGAAATGCGGGCAGCGCTCCAGCCAGCGGCGCCGGGCGTCCACGTTGAGCACGTGCGTGACGTGGTAGGGCACGTAGGACACGGCGTACAGGGCCACGCCGCTGGCCACCAGCGCCGCCACGCGCAGCTTCTCGGCCGCGCCCAGGCTGGGGCTGCGCAGCACGGCCCGGCCCAGCGCCCCGTAGGCCGCCAGCGACAGCAGCAGGGGCAGCGCCCCGCCCAGCGCCGCCAGCGCCAGGGCGTAGGCCCAGTAGGCGCCCAGCAGCCCGGGGTCCGCGGCGCCCTGGCACTCGGTGCAGGCCTCGGGCCTGGCCGCGCTGCACTCGCCCGGCCCCGCGGGGAGCTTCAGGCCCGAGAAGCCCAGCGTGGGCGCGGCCAGCAGCGCGGCCAGGGCCCAGCCGGCGCCACTGGCGGCCCAGGCGTGCTTGGGGCGCAGGTGGCCGCGCGCGAAGAAGGGGTGCACGATGCCCAGGTAGCGGTGCAGGCTGATGCAGGTGAGGAAGGCCACGCCGCCCAGCAGGTTGCAGGCGAAGAGGAAGCGCTCCAGGCGGCAGGCGGCCGCGCCGTAGCGCCAGTGCTTGGGCGGGTGCAGGTAGGCGGCCAGCGGCAGCAGCGCCAGCGCGTACAGCAGGTTGCTGACCGCCAGCTGCGCCGAGAAGACCACAGCCGGGTTCCAGGGCCGCGGCTCGCGGGTGCGGAAGCGGTGCAGCGCCAGCCCGTTGCCGGCCACGGCCACCAGGAACTCAGCCACCAACACGGGCCACAGGAAGCTCTCCTGGAACTGGCCAAGCCTGCGGGTGGCGTTGGCGGAGAAGTTGCAGAGCCTGGGACCTGCGGGCAGAGGGGTCACTGGCTGTGTGCCCGCTCTCGGGGCAGTGCCCAGGCCCGTGGCAGGTACAGTGCCACTGGGAGGCCAGAGCCAGAGCTTGTGTCGCACACCTGACACCGGACCGGGTGGTCTCTGCAGTGTGCCCCGCGACCTTTGTGCAGTGCCCAGCCCCGCTTGGTCAAAGCCCCTGTCACCCCTGGCCATCCTGCTCCTGCCACCTCCAGGGGGCACCCGAGGGCCCCAGTGAGTCAGGTCCCTGTGACAGGAAACGCTCTGCACCCGGCAAGCACATGTGCAGGCCGCGGGCTGCTCTCTGGTCTCTGTGAATCAGGGTCCTGGCTGCGCAGGCCTCAGACTTGCAGCGAGCCTCCCTCCTCGGCCTCCAGGATGCTGGGGTCACAGCCCTGGGCTAGCTCCCCTGCGAGCACGCTGGGTTTGATCCCGGCGTCACAGGACTCAATAAAGAGGCAGGTTTCTGTCGCCCTTGCAGGTGCCCAGGTCACCCTCCCGTGTCCCCATCTGCCTTGATTTCACACGAACCGGCTCGGGCAGTAGCTCCTGGATGCCCTGCCCCCGGGCCTTTGCATGACAGTGCTCACAGTCATCAGCCTGGGACTGGGGACTCCTACGCTCTGCCCCCCCCCATCCTCTTTGGCCCATGAGGGATCCCCTGACTTTCAGATGTTAAGAATCCCGTAGTGTCCCCAGGCCCCCTTCCACTGTAGCACAGTAAGGGGCTGTGGAAAGAGGCCAGGGCACTCTGCCCTTCCCTGGCTGCACAGTGGGTACCTCCACAACTTTGGTGCCCTTCCCATTCTACCTGGGGAACCCCAATTCTCAGTTCAGGCACAGACCCATCTCTCGCTTAAGACCTGGCCAGCCCACTGCCACTACTGGGACACACGACAGTGCCCGATGCTAGCACATGGCATCGCGCCCAGACCCCAGCCAGCCTCACCCGACACCGGGGCTGCCATGCTCCCCTCACGCGCGGCCTCCCCGCTGGTAACCGTGTGCACCGAGTCTCCGCTGGCTCCCTGCCCTGTGGGCGGCGCCGCTGTCCCCGCAGCTGCAACCTCAGCCTGCACCTTGCAAGGCGCCGCCGCCGGTAGCGCCCTCCCGCCCCCTTCCGCTTCCTCTTGCACCACCGCAGGGCGGCGGCTGGCGAGGACCCTCCCACCGCGAGGCCGCCCAGTCCCGTCTCAGACACGGACTCAGCCGGGTGGCTCCTCCTTTATTGCAGGGGACTGGGGACAGCTCCTTTATGAAAGGAAACCGGGGTCCGCGCGCCCCGGGCCCCAATCTGGGGCGGCCTCGCGCGCGGGGCGGCTCACGCCCCTCTCCTGGGCGGCCGCCTTCGGCCCTGGCCGCGCTCCCGGGCGGCCCCTCTGGACACCGGCCTGGCTGGGGCTCCGCGGGGCCCGGTCTGCGGCCGGGGCGGCCTCTGGCCAGCACCCCGAGCCCGGGGTCCCGGCGCAGCTTTGGCAGCTTTGCGCTGCGCCGTCCTGCTCCGCTTGGCGGCCCCGGGGAACAGGTCCTCGTCGGGCTCGGCGCCCACCGCCTGCCGGAAGTACTCGGCATCCTCCTCCGCCTGCTCCTCCTCCCGCGGGCTGCGCCCCTCGGCCTCGGGGGGCGCCCCGGGGTCCTCGGCGTCGCTGTCCCCGTCACCCTGGGCCCTCTTCATGCCCGCCAGGCTCTTCTTCCTGCGGGGCCGGGGGTCAGCGCGGGGCAGCTGGGGCGCCCCTCCCGTACCTCCCCCCCTTCCCCCACCCCGTACCCCGCGCTCCCACGCACCGGTGGGCCGCGCGCTGCTCGCGCTTGCGCTGCACGTTCTGGGCCTGCAGCTCCCGCCTCTGCATGCGCAGCCGCAGCCGCTCCTCGCGCGCCGCCAGCATGGCGCGCAGCTCCTCCTCGCTCTTGCGCACGAAGCTGTGGAACAGCACGCTGCCCTCGCCCACGCCCTCCTGGATCTTCACGAGCTGCAGCGTCATGCGGGGCCCGATCTCCGTGAGCCGCACGGCGCTCTGCTCCGCCCGCAGGTTGCCGCGCCCCGCCACCGCCTGCGGCAGCTGCGTGATATTGTGCTCGCCGTCCGGCTCGGCCTCGCTGTCCGACAGCCCCGCGCCCCTGCGGGACAGAGCGGGCTCAGCACGGGGAGTGGGCTCGGGGCCCCGCCGCCCCCAACCCGGGCGCCCCCTCACGCGGCCAGCAGCTCGCTGATGTCCTGCAGGCGGCTCATGTTGGGGAACTTCTCCTGCAGCAGCTTCTTCATGCCCCGGCTGGCGCCCACCGGGACCACCTTGATGCTGCTGCAGGGCGGGGCTCGGGTCAGGGCGCAGCCGTGGCCCCCCTTGCTCCCCTGCCCCGCCGTGCGTGCGTCAGCGCGTTTACTTCACACGGGCATCACCGCGGCTCAGTGGCTACGTCCTCATCACCCGCACTGCGCCCCCGTCCCCGCCCTCTCCCCCATGGCCACTCACTAGTGGCGGAAGTCCAGCTCCTGCGAGTCAGGGTTGTAGTTGACCAGGAGGCAGCGCTTGATGGTGTTGAGGTTCACCTGGGGGGCGGCAGAGGCTCTGAGTGAGAGCTGCACACAGCGGCAATGATGACCGTGCGGTAGGCAAGGAGGCCGGCAGCCTCCCCAGCTGCCCAGGCCCAAAGTCCTGCTTCCAGGGCCACGGAGACAGCTCACACTAGACTTCCTGACAGCTGGCACTGTCTTTTGCCTTTTTGCAGGGGGGCGGGGGGCACGGCAGCTCTGCACTGAGCTCCATCTGCACCCGTGGTTTTTTTTTTTTTTTTTTTTGTCTTTTTGAGATGGGGTCTCACTATGCAGTCCAGGCTGGCTTTGAGCTCATTTTGTAGCCCAGGCTGGCCTTGAACTTGATCCTCCTGCCTCAGCCTCCCGAGTGCTGGGATTACAGGCGTGAGCCGCCACCACCACATCCAGCCCCTTTTTTTTGAGACAGAGCCTTGTTAGGTCACCAAATTCCCCAGGCTGGTCTTGGATTTGTGACCCACCTGCCTCAGCCTACCAGGCTGCTGGGATCAGGTGTGCACCACACACTCAGTGTGGCAGCATCTTACAATAAACCCTAATCTCAGCACCGCGGGGCCCAGGGAGCTAGACACAAACTCAGGTGCCAGGCGCTGTTTCCCGTGCGCATCCAGGACAGACCAAACTCTTAACACCAGGGGCGGGGGTGCACACTTGTCATCCCAGCTGGGGGTGCCAGGGCAGGAGGAGCAGGTCAAGTCAGCTGCAGCCTGGCGGACCTGGAGACACCCTGCCTCCAAAACACAAAAACCCTCCCCCTCTGCTCTTGCCCCCATGATCACAGATGAACACTTCATCGCCCATGCCTCAGTTTCCCTATGCAAAACAGCCCCCACCACCACCCCGCACTTGAGGCCTGGCCCACCTTGTGCACGTTGATGGAGGGGAACAGGTTTTGGAACATGGTGGCCATCAGCTTCACATGCATGCCGTGGGGGCCGAAGCTGTTGAGCACCAGCAGGGGCGGGTGTGTGAACTGCTGCTCATGCATGCGGTGCCGCTTCAGTGTGGAGACTACGTCGCACACCAGCGAGTACTGCAAGGAGGGCGGCAGTGGCATATTGTGGCTGCCGTTGGGGCTGGGGCCACCCCAGCCCAGCTCCCAGCCCAGCCTCTCTGCCTCCCTTACCTTTCTGATCTGGAAGGTCAAGGTGGGGCCCCCGGGGAGGCGCATGAGCTTCTGCAGGAGGAAAGGAGGGTGAGGGCCGAGGTGCCTAGCAGGCAGGGTGAGCAGGGACCTCTGCCCGTCTCTTCAGAGCGTTTACTTTGAAGCCAGAATCATGGAGGCTCAGAGGCGTGGGGTTCATCCTGAGAGATGGGGCAGGATAGGGTGGGCAGGGGTGGGCGGGGGCGGAGCCGCTCACCAGGTAGATGTTTCGGTCAGTTCTGCTCAGGATAAGGAAGTGCGTGACCCCCAGGGGGCCCGCCACAGCCACACAGTCCTTCAGAGAGTTCTTCTTTCGAACCTGGAAATTAAAAAAAGGATACCAACAGGAATAAGAATGAAATCTCGAGCCGGGCATGGTGGGTCACGCCTGTAATCCCAGCACTTGGGAAGCTGAGGCAGGAGGATCCTTGCGAGTTAGAGAACAGCCTGGGCTACAAAGTGAGCTCAAGGCGAGCCTGAGCTGCACAGCAAGACCCCATCTCAAAAAAAACACAAAATAAATAAATAAATAAATAAAAGATTGACATCCCCACATCTCTGCTGGGTGAAGCCGATTCACGCTCCCCAAGGTGTCCTTAGGTTCTCCGTGGTGCTGGGACGGAACCCTTGGCCTCACATGCAGGGCGAGCGCTCTTCCGCTGTAGTTCCAACCCCTGTATTTCCTTGAGGTTTTCGGCGACAGGGTCTTGGCCAAGCAGTTTAAGCTGGCCTTGAACTCACTACGTGGCACATGCTGACCTGGAACTCGCGGCGATCCTCCCGCCCCTGGCCCCCTGAGGGCTGAGATTAAGACGCCCGGCTCTACCGCCATTCTTTACCATTAGCTCAAGCAAACACTAAGTCCCAAGCTGGTTGCCTTGGCTGCAACACCCCAAATCCCGGACAGAGACAAAACCCCCACAAATGTCCCTTTCTGCGGCCATGATGCCAGTACGAGGGCGGGTAGTGCCGACCTGCAAGCGGGTGGCGGTGAGCGGCTCCATAACCCGCCGCACATCCAGGCTGAGCTGCCGGACGCTGCGCCCAGCGCGGCCCCGCGCGAACACGAACGAGTGCGGCTGCGCGGCGTAGGCCTCGAGGTTGCGGAGCTGCGCTTGGGCGCGTGCGCGCTTCTGGTGCCGGGACTGCGGGAACAGCAGGGTAAAATAGTGAGCGCCGCGGTCTCGCCCTGGACCCCCTGCCCCGCGATGCTCCTAACTTCCTCACGCCACACCACTTACGCGCCCCGACTGCCCCATGCTGCCGCCTTCCCCAAGAGAGCGCGTTCGCCGGCCTCTTCCGGCACTGCGAAGCTCACTTCCGGCGCCGGGCCCGGTGACGTCAGCACGCAGGCATGCGCAGTAGGCGGCCTCAGAAGTGGGAGGAGACGGGTGGAAGTTAGTGGAGACGTTGCTATGGAAACATCGCGCGCCTATTCCTATAGAAACCTGAGCCGGGCGGGGCAGCTCAGCGGCCTCAGGAACACAGATCCAAAGGTTCGAATCCCGCCTCGCCTCATTTGCTCCAGCTTTGCCATCGTGACAACTTTCTCCCTTCCAAGGCTCCCAATGTGCTCCAAACTGCGGGTGATAACTGTCTCCCCTGCCCTGCCGGGTTAAGAAATGATTGTGTCCACCGTGCTGGCTATGGACACCGGCCCTGGGGAAGCAGTAAGGAGAAGAACTCGGCCGGTGGCAGACATTTCTTTTCGTCCCCCAGCTCCTGAGGGCCAGCCGTCCCCCGCTGCGGGCTCTCTCTGTAGGTGGGCTGAGAGATGGAAACTCCACATCACCTCTGGAAACTCTGAGTCAAGCCAGCCGGCTTTGAGAATAATTCGCCTCTTCCCTCTTTCCGTAAAAGTCCCAGTTTCAGCCTCAGGGCTCTGGCTTCTTCCCCAAAACCTGTGGTGGAGGGGAGGATCACCTTTCCTGGCTGGACATTTCTGTCCCCTTCCATCGGCTTCCCCTCCTCTCCTACACCCCCAATTCCTGCTCCTTTGCCTGGATTCCTTCTCCTTTCCCCAAATTCTGTCTCCCCTCCCCATCCCTGTCTCCTCTCACCTCCAGCTGCGTCTCTGTCAAAATGTCATCGATAAATTTGTCTCTTTTTCTAAATTTGCAATGCTGAGGTTTGAACCCAGAGTTTTTGCTTTGAACTACGTGCCCCGTCCTTTTTTATCTTGTTTTTTATTTTGAAACAGGGTCTTGCTAAGTCCCTAAATTGCTGGCGGTAGGCTGGAACTTTCGATCCTCCTGCGTCAGCCTCTGGAGTGTCAGGATCATTTCAGGCTTGAGCCACCGCCTCCGGCCAGCCACCATCTCTTGCATCGTGGATCCATTTTCCATTTTCCTCCTGTGTGCTTCCTCAGTTGCATTTTTTCATCGGAGCGCTCTCGAGGCCTCCTGATGTCTCACCCTCCCTCGCCGCTCCGCTCCGAGGTGTCTTCAGGCTGCCAGTGCAGAGCCGGATGGGCTGCGGGTGAGGGGCCCAGTGTGGGGCCCCAGTCCAGGGCTGCAGCCAGCCTGGCAGCCTCTCTCGGTGCCGGGACGACCATTTCCTCTCTGGGCCCTGGAGTCCACTCGGGTTACTCTGCAGTTGAGCTCAGCCGTAAGCGGAGAAGAGGAGACGTTGCTGGTCTGCTGTCCTCCGGGCTGGGCCCAGGCGCGTGAGTCTCTCTGCGAAATAAATGCAGCTATTTCTTCCTCCTCCGTTCGTGGTTTGCCCTTATGCAAACATGTGACTGTGTATGGGAGATGAATAGAAACTCCTAGTTGGGCAGGGGGGCACCTGGGTGTCAGTGTGTGTCTGTTTGCTGTCTCTGTGTTTGCCCTCAGGAGAGGTCCTTTTAAATTGGGGCTGTCTCTTATAAGTTTTGCTGAATGTGTGCTGGGGAATTGAATCCAGAGCCTCTGCACCAGGTTACATCCTGAGCCATTTTTGCATTCTGAGACAAGCCCTGTTAAGTGGGTAAATCACCCAGGTTGAGCTCAAACTTGGCAATCCTCCTGCCTCAGCCTCCTGAGCAGCTAAAATTGTAGGTGTGCACCATCATGCCCAGACTTTGAACAGAATTGTCTTCTTTTTTCTCCTTTAAGCTGGGGCTTCAACCCTGAGCCTTGTGTGAGCTAGAGAAGCACTTTACAACTAAACTACCCCGAGTCCTCCAGCAATGTCTTTAGGTTGTGTGTGTGTGTGTGTGTGTGTGTGTGTGTGTGTGCAGAGGCCTGCCTGCTCTGTTGGCTGTTGGCATGAATGTGTGTCTTTGTTATGCACACATAAGTGTGCAACTCTTACAGTTTTATACATGTGTGGGTTCAGGAACCAAGAAGCCAAGCATCTCATTATGGCTGCTTTCTGGCTGTGTGACCACAGGCAAGTGTCTCACCTTCTCTGAACCCTAGTTTTTCCTTCCATAAAATGAGGCTATCCACAGGAGCCAGCTCAGGCTGCTGGGATTAAATGAGCTAAGAATGCGTACCATTTAGCTAAGTGTGTGTGTATGTGAACCCAGCTACTCAAGAGGCTGATGCAGGAGGATTTCCAAGTTCAAGCTCAGCTTGGGCAAAGTAGCAGCTTAACAAGACTCTTGTCTCAAAATAAAAAATAAAAAGGGACACAAAGCAGGTAGTTGTCACTGTCTGAAGAATTCCCCCTCTGTGTGTCTGGGCCTGCCACCTCCCACACTCCCTGTGCTGCGGAGGGGAGGGGACAGCGGCCCCTAGGGCATTGACTTGTGCTATCAGGCTCTGGTGGCCCGGGCTGGGGGATCTGCTGACCTGGCTTCCGTCCTTCTGCGGGAAATGCTAAATATTTACAGTTTGGAGTCTGGCGCACTTGGGGGTGGGGGCGCACAGTGAGTCTGGGCTCCTCTTTGGGGCCTCTCCTTCCCAGCTCAGAGGCCTGCAGGACCCCCTCGGGCTGTGCCTCGCGGGCTGGAGCCTGCTGTGAACCGCGTGGGATTCGGCGGCCTCTTGGCCGTGAAGGTGAGTGGGTGAGCGAGGGTGGAGTGGACTAGGGAGTGTGGGGAGACCCCCGGCCTCTGTCTACTTGGCTTCCCGGATTCAGGCTGGCCGTCCCTGTGCTGTCCCTTTGCCTGGGTGGGGGATGGGGTGGGGGGGCGAGGAGAAGACACTGCCAGCTCCCTGCACCCCCACTTGCCGTGTCTTCCAATTCTGGAACCTTCTATGGCTCCCACCTGATTTAGAGCAGAACCCCAAGTCCTCCGCAAAGCAAAGACCCTGCACGCTGTTCCCCACAGCAGCTTGCTGCCCTGGTTTCCTCCTGCTCCTCCCCTGGTTCATCTGTCCCAAGTCACTAAGTTACCCTGGTCAGGCTCGGACCTAGATCCTCCTGCCTCAGCCTCTCAGAGAGTGCTGGGGTTATAGGCATGCACCACCATGCCCTGCTCCTGACTGGGTTTTCCAACCAGAGTGTCAGAGGCAGAAAGTAGGGGTGCTCTCTGTTCTGGGTACAGCGGGGTCCCCACTGTCCAAAGCAGCTCCCTGCACATGGCAAGTAGCCAAGCAGTATTTTTTGCACAAATAAACAGTATGGTGTGGGTGTGCATGAGACATGGCTCCCAAGGGCCGCTGGCCATACACAGCAGTGCCCGTCCCCTGCCAGTGGCTCTGTGTGCCCACGAGGGAAAGCCACCAGGTCCCTGTGGACCTGCAGGATCAGGACAGGGCACCAGGTGTAAGAAGCCAGCTGAGTAAGCGCAGAGTGATGGGGTGGGGCACACAGACCCGGGGCCTGGGGGCTTTGGGGACAGGGAACCAGTGCCTGGCAAAGAAGTGGTGAACAAAAACCCAGATTCTCTAGCCCAGTGTGCTGGCGCACGCCTGTAATCCCGGCATTGGGAGGCCGAGGCATCATGAGTTCAAAGCCAGCCTGGGCTCCATAGTTTAAGGTGACTCTGAACCACACAGTGAGACCCTGTCTTAAAACAAATGAGAATACGGATTTGGCCTCAGGGGCTGATATTTTCATGGGGCCAGGGTTCCAATCATAAACAATGGGAAGTAAATGGGGAAATTTCAGGGGTTCAGGAAGGCAGGTGAGGAAGAGTAGGATTTGGAGGGCCACTTCCTTTTTGTCCTTTTTTTCTCCTACTAGGGATTGAACACAGGGGTGTTCTACCACTGTGAGACGTGGCCGGCCCTTAAGAAAAATAATTTAAAAAATTTCTTTTTGGAATAGGGTCTCACTAAATTGCTCAGGCAGGACTCAAACTTGGGACCCTCCTGCCTCAGCCTTGGGGTGGTTGGGATTCTAGGTGAGCACCGCCACACTCGGAGCCCCGTTAGGGTGTGGGTAGTGCCCCAGCCCTGGAGCCCCCAGGTGCGAAGGCCCAGAGCCGGCATCTCCTCTGTTACCTGGGAGGGGGTGAGGCTGAGAGGCGTGGGGAGGACTGGGGTGCTTTCCCTAGGGAAGGTGGGCGCCACGGAAGGCTGCCATGGCCACCCTCAGGCTGGGTGGGGAGGAAAGAAGGCTCGAGCCTGCATACCAGGGCGGTATCTGCTGCAAGGAAATCCAGATGCCGCCTGTAGCCGCGGAGGGGGCAGGGCCGCGAAGGAATTATGTTCTAAATAACAGAGCTGACCCAGGCCTGGCGGGTGGCTGGATCTGGCGTGGACAACGCGCAGGCGCAAGGTCTGGTCTGAGGGGCTCCACTTCCACAGAGTGGGGGGCCCTGTTGGCTCCTTGCCCCACTCCAGCCCTTGGTTCACGCATCAGGCATGGTGCAGCCTCAGGGCCTTTGCACCTGTCGTACCTTCTGCCTGAGACACTTCCCTGGGACAGGGACTGTGCCTGATCTGTACCCATCTGTCCCCCCGCCCCCAGGTGGCCATGGCAGCGCCACGGCTGCGCGCGCTGCCGCTGCTACTCCTGCTCGGCGCGTCGTGGGCGCAGACGGCCGCGCCGCGCTGCACCTACACCTTCGTGCTGCCGGCCCAGAAGTTCACGGGCGCCGTGTGCTGGAGCGGGGCCGCGCGGCCCGCGCCCGAGGCCGTCAACGCCAGCGAGGTGGCGGCGCTGCGCATGCGCGTGGGCCAGCACGAGGCGCTGCTGCGTGACCTGCAGCGGCTGGCGGCGGCCGACGGCGCCGTGGCCGGGGAGGTGCGCGCGCTGCGCAAGGAGAGCCGCGGCCTGAGCGCGCGCCTGGGCCAGCTGCGCGCGCAGCTGCAGCACGAGGCGGAGCCGAGCGCGGGGGCGGAGCCGAGCGCGGGGGCGGAGCCGAGCGCGGGGGCGGAGCTCGGGGCGGAGCCTGCCTCCGCGCTGGCGCTGCTGGGCGAGCGCGTGCTGAACGCAACCGCCGAGGCGCAGCGCGCCGCCGCCCGCTTCCACCAGCTGGACGCGAAGTTCCAGGAGCTGGCGCAGCTCGTGAGCCAGCAGGGCGGCCTCATCGCCCGCCTGGAGCGCCTGTGTCCTGGGGGCGCGGGCGAGCAGCAGCAGGTAACGGGGGCCTTCTGTGCGCATGCCCTGTGCAGAGGGCGCCGTGGCGCCCACTCGTGTCCCGTCCTCAGTTCCCGAACCCCGGGGGAAGATGCAACCCGGTGCTTCCCCTGCGCCCCTGCTTGTTTGGTTCGAAACGTGGTTAGTGTCCACGCATAGTTTTACCTCATCCACTTACTGTGAGTATCTGCAGGATCCTGTACTGCAGGTCAAGGGACCGCTGTGTCTCCAGCACCAGACGGGTCCAGGTCCGGGTTTGGGTCGGGATCTCTGCGCTGTGACAGTCCCCACATACAGAGTTGACAGGAAGATGGATGTGCTTTTCTACCTCCAGGGAGACTGGGACACGGAATAACTATGTTGTGAACCCCAGAATGGGAAATATTAGGGGATTTTTCTTTTGAGATAGGTCTCACCGTACAGTACAGGTCTGGGGCCACGAATTTGGATCCTCCTGCCTCAGCCTCCCTAGTGCCGGGATTGCAGGCGTGCACCACCACGCCGTGCCTGGCTCCCAGGTGGGATTCAGTCCCGCTGTGTCTGCCCTAAGAAGCCAAGAGTTAGGCAGGAGAGGGTCAGTCTAGGAGTAGGACATCTGCTGCCTGACTTCCTGTTTATCTGAGTGCTAGCCGGTTGATTCCCCAGATGAGTGTTAGGGTGACTTCTGGTTGTCACCTCAGGTCCCGCCCCCACCCCTGGTGCCTGTGGTTCCCTTGACTCTGGTGGGCAGCACCAGTAACGCCGGCAGGAGCCTGGACACAGCCCTGGAGTCCCCGAGAGACCAGACGCTGAGACAGCAGGGGCCCCTGGCCTCCCCCTCCCCCGCAGGGCGCCCTGCCAGCCCCACCAAGCCGGCAGGTAAGAGGCGGCAGGACTGGGTAGCCCCAGTGCAGTATGGGTAGCAGGAAATAAAAGAGCAGGATTCCTCCCAGGCAGGCGAGAGGCCTGGAGGAAATGCTGCTCACTCTGCTAACAGAGCAGGAGATGGGGCTCTGATCCTGATGAAACCACCAGAGCTGAGAAGCACCTCATGGATGATAGTGTGCTTGTCTAGCATGAGCAAAGCTCTGGGTTCGGTCCCCAGCACTGCATAAAAGCAAACCAAAACCAGAAGACCAAACTTCTTAATATGCTATGCAGATAGCAAAAGGACAAATTCATAGAGGAAGAACTCTTAATTGATGGGGGGGGCAGCAGATTAGGAAAGCTGCTTTCTGAGAAGTTGGCTTAGAGTACTATCAGGACTTATATCTTGCTACAAAGACACAGAACCGGAGTTTAAGGAGCCCAGGCTCCCTGTTTGCTCTGGTGAGAGACAAGGGACTTAAGAGTCTTCCTCAAGTAAGGAAATAGCTATTGGTGTTCTTAGGTGAGGGGAAGGAAGGGGAAGCACTCTTATTTCAGTGAGGGGACCAGAGAATTGGGGGAAACACTCTTATTTTGGTGAGGGGACCAGGGTGGGAATCAGGACTCTTATTCTACTAAGGGATTGGTTGGGCCAGGCTGTGCCTCTCCTATATCCTTGTGTGTTCACAGGCCCATGGCAGGACTGTGCTGAGGCTCACCAAGCGGGTCACAGGCAGAGTGGGGTGTACGAGCTGCGCCTGGGCCGGCATGTGGTGTCCGCCTGGTGTGAGCAGCAGCTGGAGGGTGGTGGATGGACTGTGATCCAGCGGCGCCAGGATGGCTCCGTCAATTTCTTTACCACCTGGCAGCAGTACAAGGTAGGTGTGGTGTGCAGAGGCAGGGCCGGGGGGGGGGCAGGCACCTGTCCCTGTCCCTGACCGCCAGGCACACCTTGTCGCAGGTGGGCTTCGGGAGGCCCGACGGGGAATACTGGCTGGGCCTCGAACCCGTGCATCAGCTGACCAGCCGTGGAGACCACGAGCTGCTGGTGCTGCTGGAGGACTGGGGGGGCCGGGGGGCCCGCGCCCTCTACGACAACTTCTCCCTGGAGCCGGAGAGCGACCACTACCGCCTGCGGCTCGGCCAGTACCACGGGGATGCTGGGGATTCTCTGTCCTGGCACAACGACAAGCCCTTCAGCACAGTGGATAGGGACCGAGACTCCTATTCTGGTGAGGAGCCCTGCTCTTCTGGTGGGTAGACAGGGCGGTGTGACTCCTGGTGAGGGTGAGATTGCCCTCTGCTAAGCTTTAGCGTAAGGCAGTTTCTGTTGTGGCAAGAGAATAAGCGGCAGGTAGCACTTTTCTTCTGACGGGATGGGAAACCCATGCTCTCTCTCTGAGGAGGTCAGAGAGTTGGGAATCTCCTGGTGGAAGGTAGACTGCGGGAGCTGAAACACTTTGGTTTTTTTTTTTTTTTTTTTTGTCTTTTTCGTTTTTATCAGTACCGGGGATCGAACTCACAACTGCCTGCTTGCAAGGCAGGTGCTTATGCCGCCGAGCTAAATTCCCAGCCCCAACACTTTGTTTTTTGAGGCAGGGTTTTGCTATGTAGCCCTGAGTGATCTCGAACCCGCTATGTAGGCTGGCTTTAAACTGGCAGTGATCCTTCTGCCTCAGCTTCTTAAGTCCTGGGATTACAGGTGTGTACCACCACAACTAGTTCAGAACATTTTTAAAATCTAGAGCTTTAGGGGCTGGGGATTTAGCTCAGCGGCATAAGTACCTGCCTTGCAAGCAGGCGGTCGTGAGTTCAATCCCCGGTACCGATTAAAAAAAAAAACAAACAAAATCTAGAGCTTTGTGCATGCTAAGCATGTGCTCCACTGCAGCCCAGCCTCACTGTAGAGAGGAGACGATTTGACTCCTGCTGGTAAGAGGAGACTTCTATGTGGTGGAAAATGCAGGAACGGCATGATTCGCGCTTTGATAAGGAGATAGGAAAGGAATTAAGGCTGTTACTCTGAAAGTGGGAGCTTTTATTCTGGTGAGGAGATATCAGGATGTATATGCAGTAAGATTGGGAAGGGCCAGGGGATGCCTAGCCAAAGCTTTACACAAGGAGGTACTGAGAGAGGCTTTTCTCTCACCCCTCAGGAAACTGTGCCCTGTACCAGCGTGGGGGCTGGTGGTACCATGCTTGTGCCCACTCCAACCTCAATGGCGTCTGGCACCGCGGTGGCCACTACCGAAGTCGCTACCAGGACGGCGTGTACTGGGCTGAGTTCCGCGGTGGGGCGTACTCGCTCAAGAAGGTTGCCATGCTCATCCGGCCTGCGAGGCTGTGACCGTCCTTCTGTCCCCGCCATCCAGGGTGACCCAGCCTTGCCCCAGCAGCGGTGGACCTGGTCCCTGGGGGCCCCTGAGGGCGTTTCTGCGTGGGGCTGAGCTCAGAGTCCTAAGAAGCCGGTAGCGGCCTGGCCGGCTCACTCCTGGGGCCTGGCTGCCTCCTCCTCTTCCTCCTCCTCCTCCAGGTCCTCCAGGATGAGGTTGTCGAGGTCCTCCTGCAGCCCGCCCTGGCTCAGGCAGGTGGCCACAGTGGAGCCACTGCTGATGTGGGGGTCGCTGGGGTGCAGGACCTTGGGCAGGTGGTTCTGCTGGCGGCTCTTGGGGTGAGCGCACGACGTCCCAGGCACGTGGGGCTCTGGGGACAGAAACCGGGCTGAGGTCACCAGGCTGTGGGGAAGGGGCGGGAGCTGCAGAGAGCTCAGGAGACCACAGGAGATCAGGGCGCCGTGTGGGGCGGGGCTACAGGACACAGCGGGGGCCGCGCCTCAGACCCACGGGCACCCTGAGCGTCCCAAGTGGCCCGGAAGACAGGTGGGGGGGGACCATGTAGTTATGGGGACGAAGCTTCCTTTTTTTTTTGAGCCAGGGTTTCACTTCTCGGTTCTGGCTGAGCTAAGCAGCTCCAGGCTGGCTTTGAGCTCACAGTGGTCCTCCTGCCTCAGTTTCCCAAGGGCTGGAATCACCACCCTGCCTGCCAGGCTTCTGTATTTTTAAGAAATCTCTTTTTCTGATTCTGGGTCTTGCTGTATCACTGGCTGGCCTTCTCTGTATTTGTTTTAGTCTTTACAGTGCTGAGAATTGACCTCGAGGCCTTTCCTTGAGCTCCAGCTCCATTACCCTGCCTCCCCTTTGGGTGTCTGGAGGCGGGCCTCGCTGTGTAGGCCAGGCTGGCCCTGAGCTCACTGCGTAGCCCAGGCTGGCTTGGAACTCCTGGAATTTGCCTGCCCCTGCTTCCTAAGGGCTGGTGTGACAAGCGTGGGCTACCACACCCGGCCCCAGCCCCATTTTTAACTTTTCCTGTTCTGAAATAGGGTCCTGCTAAGTCACTAAATTGCACGGGCTGCGTTTGCATGTGAGATATTCCTGACTCAGCCTCCTGGGGTGCTGGGATTACAAACGTGTGCCACCATGCCTGGCTGAAACCACCCACGAGAGGACACAGAAGGCCTGCCTGCCTCCAGGGACCTGGAGTCACCCTGGGGACCCCTCCACCTCCCGGGCCTCACCTCGCCGGTTGTAGCAGTCCGCAGCCGAGCAGGAGTGGGTGTGTGCACTGCGCCGATCTGTGTCCGCGTCCCAGCGTGGGGGGAGGATCCGTGTCGGAAACACGGGGAAGCCACACCCGTAGCAGGGGGACTGGGACCCCATCTGTGCCCAGCCCCTGGGGACACGCAGGGCTGTGAGGGTCTGGGGCGGGGCCAGGGAGGGGCGGGGCCGGGGTGTGGGCGGGGCCGAGGCGGGGCGGGGCCCTCACCGGAAGTTGTGCCGACACCGCGGGCAGTGGAACTCGGCCAGCCCCCACATCTTGTCGCCTGGCACTGGATCGTAGCGCTTCCGGCATTTGTGACATCGGGACACCTGGGGTATGCGGAGAGGGGATCAGGGGTGGTCAGAGGCTGCTGGGGATAGGATCGGGGGGCCATGGACCGCAGTGGCTGGCATTGGCTGCAGGAGCAAGCCAGCTGGTTAACCATTTCCCACAAGCACAGCACTTAGCAACCAGGGGATGCAACAGTCACATTTGGGGTTGTGGTTTGGGGGCCAAGTTTGATTTTGCACTCTACTGGAACACCAGCCCCAGACTTGTAAACATTTTTTTTTGGAACAGGGTCTCCATAAGTTCTCCAGGCAGGGCCTGAATTTGAAACCTTCCTGCCTCAGCCTCCCAGAGTACTGGGATGACAGGAAAGAGCCACTGCATCTGACTCCAGTTCTGACCTCTGAAGCTGCTGTCAAACTGCGGCAGCATCAGGGTCAGGCCCTGGGGGCAAGGGTGTCAGCCTCAAACTCAAGGTCAACAGTCCAGCTCTGAGCGCCGTGTTGCACACCCGCGACCCCGGCATTCAGGAGGCTGAGGCAGGAGGATGGCACGTTGGAGCCCAGCCTGCACTGTGCAGTGAGACCCCGTCTCAAAGGAACCAAACAAAATTGCAGCTGTGCCTTAGGGCTGGGCTCGGAGGTCAAGATGCTGGAGCCCTGGGGCTGGAGGTCAAGGTCAAGTTCTGGGCTGTCACCTCCTTCCTCTGGGGGACACGGCGCCACCACACATGGTCACAGCTGGAGCAGGCAAACTGCCGGTCCACGGCGGGGATGAGGTCGTCCTGGGCGCGCTGGAACATGCGCAGGTTGGCTTCGGTCAGCGGCAGGAGCGAAGTGGCCACGGCCTGTGGGGTGGGGACAGGTCTCACCCGCCTGCTCCGCAGCAGTGCTCGCAGGCTGCCCTCTCCCTCTGGGGGTCAGCTCCACGCACCCTGGCCGCACAGCAGCCACCAACGCACCTGGATGTCCTGGTCCTGTCTCATGTCCTCTGGAGGGTCCTGGATGGAGACATGGGAGGAGGGCGGAAACGGGAAGATGCTTGTAGCTCTTCAGCCTGTTTATTGAGGGCGGGGCCCATGCATGGGGGCTCCCAGCTGAGGAGCCAGGGGCTTGCTTTCATGTAAAAGTAAGGTGCTAGAAGCCCGAAATGGTGGGTGCATGTAATCTAAGCACTCGAAAGGCCGAGGCAGGATGATCTCTTCTAGTTCAAGACCAGCCCAGGCTACACAAGTGAGTGAGTTCAAGGCCAGCCTCAACTACACAGTGAGATCCTGTCTCAAAAAACAAAACAAACCAGAGTTGGGTGCCCCCAATTCCCCAGGGGCTGACAGCAGCACCTGCTGACTGACAGCTGGAAACGCAGCCCTGAGCATCCAAACAGCAGCCCTTTGAAGTGGGCGTCTCTGTCCCCCATTGCTCAGATGAGGAGACTGAGGCTTACAGCTTGAGATCACCCCACATGTGTGGGGCCAGCTGAGACCAGGCGCCCAAACCCCCTCCTGCTTGAAGATTCTATATAGTCCTTGACACAGATGGAGGTTCAAACCCGGCTCTACTGCTGCCAGCTGTGGGACGGGGAGTGCAGGTCCCCATCTTGGGTTCAAATCCCAGCTGCTGCCTGTTTAGCGCAAGAAGCATCATGCTCTGGGGCCTCCGTTTTTTTGTTTTTTGTCTGGCTAGGTAAATAGCTCAGTGGCACAGCACCTGCCTGGCAAGGGTGAGGTTGTGAGTTCAATTCCCAGTAGAGAACAAAAAAATAGAACAAAGTTTCCTTTTCCTTAGAATGGGAAGGAAGAAGGACAAAACTCGCCCCTGTGGCCTAGTCTGGCCACAGGGGAAGTGGCTGACCCGTGATCAGTGCCACTGCCTGCTGTTACTCCCACAGCAGCCTCTAGATGGACGAACACCCCACCTCCGGGCAGGTGAAATCCAGTGCTCACCCCGAGGCCCAGACAGCTTGCACCTGAGGACCCCACATTCATGCGTTCATCATTCAGCAGCAGGGCCCCTTCCCGCCGTTCCCCACCTAACAAAATCAGCACGCAGTGGGCGCCCACTGTTTGCTCCACGCACACCGAAAGGCGGGTAAAGTGAACAGGGTTGAGGAACCGGGGATCCCCATGGTTGGGCTGGGTCCCCTCCCCCAGAGGAGAAGGGGACAGGTTACCTGGGCATCCAGGCCGTTAGCCAGCCCCTGGCCATCTTGCTGCTTGACCCCTAGAGTAAGGAAAACAACCTTGAGGGATCTGTCCAGAGTTCCAGGGCGCCCCAGCCCGCCCCCCAGCTCTCTGCGCCCACCACGCCCCCTCGGGGGGCGCCACGCGTGCTGCCCGGCCCGGGGGTCAGGACGCCCGGCTCACCGTACACGATGGAGCGCCCCACCCCGGTGTGGTCGCTGCCGAACCTTCGCATCAGAGCCCCCGCCCTCTGGGGGGACACCTTCCCGTGAAACTTCTCGCGCAGGCGCCGGACGCTCTTCTCCAGCTGGGACGGGACAGAGTGGGGGGACCGAGGTGGGCGAGGGGGACCCAGGGTGCCATCGGCCCTCCCTCACCCGGGGTGTCATCTCCAGGCCTAAACTGACCCTTGATTTTGGCCTCTGAGTCCCCACCCCCTCCATCCCTACGTGGCATTTCCTGGAAAAAGCCAAAGTCCTCGGGCCATCGGGGTTGGAGGGACGCGCAGGGGGGCAGCACCCCAAGCCTGGGGGGGATGACCCACGGCCTCTGACCCCTGACCCCGCAGGCCCCCAGCTCCTGAGGAGGCCGCCCTTCTCTCCAGGGGAGGCGGAGACGGACGTGGCAGTCAGTGTCCTTTCCCGGGGGACGCCCCGAGTTCAGCACGGGGTGGGGGCGCCCCAGGTCCGCGCGCCTCCTCCCCATCCCGGCTGCTCCCGTCCTCCTCGCGCCCGTCGCGGTCCCCGTGCTCGGGCCTGGCGTGGCCGAGCCCTACCTCCACGCCTTCCTGGGCCATGGTGGCGGCGCCGGGCCCGCGAGGGTCGCACTGCGCGCTGGCCGCCCCCCGCCGAGGCCCGCTCGCGGCCGCCAGCAGGAGGGGGCGGAGCCTGCGCAGGCCACGCCCCCGCCCGCCCGCTTTCGCTTTCGATTCTCGGACTCCGGGCGCCGCTCAGCCTCCGCTCGTGCACCCCAGAGCCGGGCGGAAGCGGGGAGCGAGGGGGCCGAGCGCCCTGCGGCGGGCCTGCGCACCTCGGCGGGAGGCGGCGCTGCCTCTGCAGTCGGTCACATGTCCCCACGCTGCGCGGGGTCCGCGTCTGCACGTCCCCCGTGGGGGCGGGGCCGCCTCGCGGATCTGCCCCCTCCGTGGGTCCCTCTGCTCCTGCCTGCCCCCCAACCCTGGCCTTCCCCCGGAGCCGGCACTGTTTAGGGTCTGGACCTTTGAAAACTTGCTCGGAGGTGGAACGTCAGTCTACTGCTCTGTGCAATGGGGCTGACCTTGCGCACGCCCTCACCCCGCACTGGGGAGGCTGAGGCAGGAGGAGCTGTGAAGTCCAGGCCGGCCTGGGCTACACCGCGAGACCCTGTCTCAAAGAAACTGAATTTTGGGAATGACATTAATGCTTACGTCTTGGAGCAAAGTGTGTGCCAGGAGCAAATCTCATGGTCCCTAGCGTGCCAGGGACCGTCCTGCATTACTGTGCGACCTGCCCGCTGTGTTCCGGTGTCTGTATTATACACGGGAAGATCGGGAAGGTATGGGCCAAGAGCGGTTTATGTTTTGTTTTTTGAGACAGCATCTGACTGTGTAGTTCAGGCTGGCCTTGAACTCTCTATGTCCTGGCCTTGGACTTAACCTGGGTCCTCTTGCCTCAGCCTCTCAAATACGAGGATTGCAGGCCTGCACCACCACTACGGACTACAGCCAGGACAGTTCTAACAGCATAGGGAGACGGAGATTACTTCTTGGAGAAGTGGTTTATACGTAGTCGTTGAAGTTTGGAGGTTTAGCTCGGGGAACAGTACCTGTCCACAGCTACTCAGGAGGCTGAGGCAAGGGGATTGAAATTTGGAGTTCAGCTTTGGCAACTCAGTGAGACCTTGTCTGAAAAATCATAAGAGCTGGGGGTGCAGCCCACTGATAGAGCCCTTGTGTTGCATGTGCAGCACCCTGGGTTTCATCCTCGGCACTGTCAAACGTGGTGTGTATATACAAAGTGGAGTACTATATAGCCATAAACAGGATGCGATTCTGTCATTTACAATAAAAGGGATGACGCTGGAGGCCATTAAATTGACAGCCAGGCACAGAAAGACAAATATTCCATGGCCTTATTGACATGGGGAAGCTAAGAGAAATTGGTCTTGGTTGAGAGTAGAATCTCCATTCCGGGAAGCTTGGAGGGGTGGAGGGATGAGACAGGTCAAGAGCCCAAGGTGACCGGAGGAAGAAATTCCAGTGTCGTGTGTAGCATTGGGACCATCATTTCAGAATAGCCAGAAAGGAGGATTCCCCCGCAGCACTGGGGCTGCACTGAGCTATGTCCTCAGCCTTATTAAAATATTTTTAAAATTAGAAACAGGGTCTAACTAAGTCCTTGAATCACCAGGTTGGGTTTCAATTTGAGATGTTCCTGCCTCAGCTTCCCAGGTACTGGGACAGGTGCAGGCTTGTGGCACCACACTGGGTTTGAAGATGCATACGTCCTTTAGACAATAAAAATGGTATTGGATCAGGGGTGTGGCAGCACATGTCTGTAATCTCAGAACTGTGGAGGCTGAGGCAGGAGAATTGCCCCAAGTTTGAAGCCAACCTGGGGGCACATAGTGAGACCCTGTCTCAAACATCAAGAACAAAACAACAAAAAAACCAGACAGTAGCTCTATCTCCCAGGGGAATGAGGTCCCTGCTCCTCCAACTTTCCCTTCCCCTGCCGGGGTCCCTGTCTGGCGGAGCCCTACAGGCAAGGAGGTAGCCTAGGGCACTCAGCTGGGAGGGTCTCCTGTGTAGCCCAGCCTGCCCTGGAACCCGAAGAGATCCTCCTGCCTCAGCCTCCTGAGTGCTGGGATTGCAGCCGCACACCGATGCACCTGCCTCCTCTCCTGTATTTTCCACGGTGCACATTTCTCTAACAATTGAATTTCTTTCGCAGTGAGCAAAGGGAGCAGCGAGCCTATTTTGTAGTAAAAAATATAGATCCCACATATAGATCCGATTATTAAAAAAAACAGTCTAGGGATCGGTGGAAATACAGCTCCATTTTCACCGTGCAGGACCTGGGGCCGTCCTGTATGACACAGCAACCTGATGTTCCATTTTCACAGAATAAGTTTTCTTGTTTTTCTGGGAATGTGATCCGTGTAGAAGTTGAGGAACTGGTTTGGGCACTTTGCACAGATGAATTTGTGGCAGACAAACTGAAAAGCCTAACATGCTCAGCTGGGTGTGGTGTGCACACCCCTCATTGTAGCACTTTTGGGAGGCTGAGGCAGGAGGATTGCCCTGAGTTCGAGTTCAGCCTGGGCCGCATAGTGATTTCGAGGTCAGTTCTTCTTTGCAAATGTGCGGGTCTCTGGGGGCGGCGTTATTAGCGATGGGCCAGGCCGAGCAGCAGTCTCAGAGAGGAAGCAGATCACGTGGGTGGCTGCATTCCTTAGTGCTGAGTTACTGTAATGAAGTCTGTGCGGCAGTTAACTCATAAAGAGAAAATGTTATTTTGGTTCACATTTCTACACGTTGCAATCAGTGGTCACGCAGCTTTGTTCTGGGGCCTGCGGCGAAAGCATCCTGGTAGAGGGAACTGTCTATATCAGGGGCCAGAAAAGAAACAGAGCAGGATTTGGGTCCTGCAGGCCCGATGGACCTCTAGGCTTCCCGTAGTGAGGCCCACAGCCGCATCCCAGAGCGCCACCTTGAGGACGAAGCCTTTAACACACGGAGTCTGGGCACATTCATTCCCGCCACAGCAGGGTGGGGTGCGGGTGAGGGTTGGTCCTGGGGAGCAGGGGTGCTGCGGCTGGGGACAGTGCACACCTGTGATGCCAGGAAGGCTGCTCGGAGGCTGAGGCAGGAGGAGCATGTATTTGAACCTAGCTCGGACAACTTAGGGAGACCCCTGTCTTAAATTATTAAAAAATAAAAATGCCAAGGATGTATTTGGTGGGAGCATGTTTACTGGTATGTGTGAGGGCCTGGGTTCATCCCAGTACTATGTGTGGGGAAAAACACTGGATTTCAAGGGCGCGGTGGTTTGCACTTGGGAGGCTGAGGCGGGAGCATCTCTGTGAGTCTGAAGACAGCCTGGGCTACAAAATGAGTTCAAGGCCAGTCTGAGCTGCATAGTGACATCTTGTCTCAAGGACACCAAACAACAATGACTTTGGCTTTATTAGGTTAAATAAAAAATAAACTATACTATTAAAACTAACTCCACTGCTCTTTTAAAATTTATGTATTTATGCTAGGGATGGAACCCAGGGCCACTCTACTAATGAGCTTCTCCTCCCTTTTTAAAAAAACTATGAGACAGGTTCGCAATTAGTTACTAAGTTGCCCAGATTGGGCTCACACTTTTGATCCTCCTTCTCGGCCTCTTGAATAGCTGGGATCACAGGTGTGAGCCTCTAGGCATGAATTAAATAAATATCCTATGAAAAGATGCAGGTTTAAACCAAATTCTACCCAGAAGTGTGGCGATTACACGCCCCCAAAACAGACAGCAGTGTTGGGTACACACCTGTAATCCCAGCACCGGGGAGGCTGAGGCAGGAGGATTGCCAGGAGTTCAAGGCCAGCCTGGGCTACCGACTGAGAGCCTCTCTCATCAATGTTTTAGCTGTTATTTGTGCTGGGCTAAACCCGCAGCCCTTGTAAAGCTGTTTTTGAAGAAGGATGTAAATTGAGCCCAGATCAGGGAAGGCGAAGCCAGACTAAGCTTAGGGAAGGGCGTGCAAAGTTCCTAAGGCAGGATCAGCAGGCACAACAGAGGCCAGCGTGGTCAGGATGGGGTGACACAACTGTATTTAAGAGATAAGCAAAGAAGGGAACAGTGCGGAGGACTAGTATTAGTTTTCTCGCCCTAGGAAACACGAGCAATGACTTTTGACGCATTCATAAAAAAGGGCTTTTAAGAAATCGTAGCGCCTGCCATTCCAGCACTTGGGAAGCTGAGGCAGGAGGATCGCTGCAAGTTCAAAGCCAGCCTGGGCTATATAGTGAGACGCTGCCTCAGAAAACCAAAAATGTGAATCATAAAGAACGGCTGGGACCGAAATGGGGGACAGTTCCAAGCCATGCCCAGCTGCTGTGCCGGGACCTGCTGAGACGTGGAGTGGGGCACCACTGTGGGCTCCCCACTGGGGGTTCAGCGCGGGCCCAGGCCTCTCGGAGCCCCCCACCTGGGGGCAGCACAGGCCGCTGGCCGGGCCCCGCGGTGCTGGACGCTCATGTACTCGAATAGCGCCTCCTTGTGGTCCGCACCCTCCTCTGCTGCCCACAGCGAGTCGAACGTGTCCTTGCGCAGGACGTAGGTGTCCTTGTGGGTAGGACGGGTGAGGGGCGCGGTGTCCCTGGCCCCGGGGTCTCCCTGCCGTCCCCTGGGCTGTGCTGCTTCGCTGTCGTACCATCTCCCCGAATGGTGCTTCTGGACTCTTCACCTCCCTCTGGTGGAAACCGGAGGCCATTCCCTGGAGTTGTGCAGTGCGCAACCTACACCTCCCTCAGGGCAGTCCTGACGTCCATGACGCCCTGCTGGTAGGCCCAGCAGTAACTATACATAGAGCAGGAAAGAGCACCAAGGCCTCAGTCTTTGGGGTCATCAGGCGTCCACCTCGCCCTCGGAGTTGACTCTCCACAGGTTTGACGCCTGATCAATGATGACACAGGATTCCTGCTCTTATGACCCCAGGGCATCACGGCAGGTGTCATGGGTGCGAGTATGTTACGGTGAGGCTCGACGGGGGAGGCCCAGCAGGTGGGAAGAGCTGTAGGCCCAGCCTGCTGGACGCGGGGATGTCAGGGCCGGGCTGCACAGCCCATCCCCTGGGACAGCTGCTCTTGGGGGTGATGATTGACCGCTTCTGGCTGCACGCGGAAGTGGATGTAGGGGTGAGAGGCTGCGACCTCGTGAGGCTCCAGCTTCACCTTATACACTGGGGAACAGGAGTATGGTGGAGGGGCGAGGCGTTGGAGGGCTGCCTGTGAGCACCTCGCCTGCCCCCTTGGCTACTCACACTCGCCCAGGTCTGTGCCACCCT